CGAAAATGAAACAATGAATCCAGTCCACGATTTCGGGTTTTTTTAAGAGACTCATAGGTCATTGGTACGGCGATTGAAAGCACGCACTCTGGTCGCTTGATGAGAATGCTCTCCAGAGGCTTGAATATGGCTGAGTCCAAATATCATCCTAGCTTGATAGATCAGAAAAGGATAAAGCCTATTTCATCGCTTGCTGCTACGAATTCCATGTCTTTCGAGGTTTCAAGGTAAAAAGGTAATTCGCAAGATTTTTTTTCCTTTTTAAAGTTGTTTTCAGTTTTACTATTGCTAAGTCTTGTTTCAACAGGCAAAGTCCCATCGATAGGAAACGAAGCATGGCTTGACCACAGAGACGTTATACTGTACCAGTTTTATGTACACGTTCGATCGGACTCAGCCTACTCCTTTAGAATAGTGATCATTTCGAAGTGTCTGTAGGCACTCATAAAACAAACAGCGGTACCATTTTCGAACAAAGTTCCTATTAGTCTTCCAAAGCAAGCAGTTTTTGGGGTTGTTTTAAAGGACAACATACACGTATGTCTCTGAAGTCACTGAACATAGGTCTTTTACTGGTAAACTAGCCAACCGTAAGGGATGCTATTAAAACAAGAAGACACTGTAAAACATGTAAACGAGTGGTTAAATGTCTAAGGTCGTTGTAAAAGTACGGTGGACGCCATCAACAGCGAATGGTACGAAGACCAGTTGTTAAGTGATAAAAAACAGTTTCCAACAAACAGCAGATATTAAATGGTTTTAATAACAACTACACCAATTTTCCAGCACTTTGGCGACTAGTGATAATCTTAAAGTTTATTCATATATAATTTTTTCACGTGATCACATGAAGACGTAGATATAAGCGTGTAAAGACAAACCTTAAGTATTATAGTAGATTTAAAATACAATGCCCCATTAAAAAGAACTAGAATTGGGTAACATACGATATGTTTCACTGAAATGCATTATGATTAGAATAAGTATAGTTAGTCCTCTAACCACCCAATACCTCGGTTGTCTTCACTCTCAGTGGACTCGTTCGACCCGTACCTGTAGCCCTTTACTAGTTAATGCAAGTTACGGACTACATGAATACATCTTGCAACGGGTATCATCATAGTACATAATACTACAAGACTATTACACGATTCTATGACGTCTAAAATAGGTCGCCCCATGAAAACGGTGTTATGGATTTTTGGGCTATTAAACACTGCATATATCAACTTATTCATTTAACATATTTGTTTGTTACTTGAATTTCTGTATGTTCAATGAATGCATGTCATAATATACAATATAAAAATTCAATTTTATTCTAAATTAAATCTATTATCTAGGCAATTCTCGCGGCCCTTCGTAGCATACTAAAATGGATAGATGCTCACTAAACGAACAAAAACTCGTTAGCCATCATGCCATACCGGAATAGCGTCATCGTAAGTTATCATTACTTTAATTATATTGTTGTTTACTCGAATATACACACTTGCACCCCACAGAATTTAGGAATCTACCTGTTATGACTAATGCTTGTGATAAGTACGATTCCCATTTAAGCCAACACATGCTACCAGTTTGCAATCTTTCTTCCGTTCTGGCACCATTTTAAATAATGTTATAGCGACATCTCGTCTTTTTGCATCACTTTAGATCTTTTAATCTGCGCAAACTTAGTTCGAATCCTGGCTATACCATTTCACTTTCCTTCTACAAATCCTCAATATGTGAAGTCCCGATAGTAATCTCAATCGAGATTGATATTGTGGTAGAACGTATATAAGCCATTGCTAGCATTTTAGCACCCATGATCAAGCGCCTCCAATATAGCTCACCAGTTTGACCTCGGTTCGTGCAGCTTCTTCAGCCTATTTCATCATTGTTTGCGCCCATCACTCTATACAAGTTAGGTTAGGGCTTTGGACGTAGCTGTTCCAACGAGGCCTGTGGGATGCGGAAATGATAGAGTCGCTTGTAGCTATTATTTGTGAATCACAACGGTGGCTTGCACTTTCTGTGTCTTCGTTTCCGTAGGGGAGGAGGGGGGCCTCACTGAGTATGGAGGCGACTGCCACTGGCGAACCCGCTATAATAATGATTACCTCTGCTGTTATGAGTACAATACCGTTGACTCGGGGCGGGCGGCCAAACAAGCGAGGCTAAACCACGAGTATTCCCAACACACCATCTCGGGTATACTGTCTCACACGGTTTGAAACTTTGGGTGAGTCCAGTCAGCGCCTCGATCAGAGTACTCGGCCGAAGGGAGTAAACTTCATTCGGTGGAAAGCGAGCTTTGTAACTGATAATCATCTTCAAATCATCGTTTACATCTAGCCGAATGGTCGTCCCTGTCGTCGAAACAAGGTCTCTAATTAAAATTTAATTACACATAGCAGGTTACAGCACATATGCTTCTGAGGTTTACAACGGGTATAAACAGGATACGTATAAGCTTCTAAGAGAATACAGATGAGGAGGATAAAATTAGGAAGAAATAGTAAACGCTCTTCGCTAAGCCTGTGGAACTTAGGTGCCACGTAGCAAACATGCTGATCTCGTTGCACTCCATTCCATGACAAACAATAACGGAAAGTATTCTTGTTAAGCGCACATTACGATAAGCGTGTTCGTTTAAAATTCTGTGCAAAAGCAAGAGAAAAAAGCAAGAGCTCATCGGTAATACTGAGTTTCACAATCATGTTGTAGAATGTTGTTCTTGTTAGCAGCTATCAAGCTGTGTCTATATTGTCGCAAGCGGTTTGAAAGAGCTAAGAAATCGAAACAAGAACTCATGCATTTTCCATTGCGTTGTTTTTGGCTACACGTTGGAATCGATAACTTACTAACGCAGAAACTATTCCGGATCAGCAAGTACTCTTTACTTGAAAGTCAATTCCAAAGAGTTTTTTTTTTCTATCTGACTAGTGATTAATCAGGTCTGTGTTAAGAAGTCAATTCACCGACAGTCAGGTCAACTAGGTACGCAACAGTGTCCAGTGACCATGTAACACACTGTTCATCGCCACAGTACGAGCAGAACGAGGAAGAGCAGGATAAAGAAGCAGTGATTTTACAGTAGGTTTAAAAGATAGATTTACAGCTACTCAGGTGTATACTTCTATGTAAAGAAGTATAAGTCGACCTTTTCAAAATTGCCTCTTCTATCTTTTGTACACTTTCTCCGTAAAAAATAAATTTTAAGTTTTGTTCCTTTCATCCTAATGCTCACTTTTTTACCGCATATAATTTGGTTTTAACAAATGTCCGAGCACTACATACAACAACTCACACAAAGCAGAATACAAGCATTACTAGTAAAACTAACCTACAGAGCCTTATCTTTAGTTATCAGAAATAGATGTTTGTAGTATTAATAGTTGATGACTGTCGCTTAAAGCTTGCTTTCGCAAACCTATGACCGCCCGTATGAAGATACACAACATTAGAAGGGTAAGAACACCTTTTTCCTCTTAAAATAGATTGACTACACGCTCATACTACTGCTGCAAAACTGACGGCATGATGAGAACTTGTTAGCACTGCCGGAGTAACGACGACACGTACCGACCGATTGAGTTGGATATTCAGCTAGTCGTTCCCGTTTAAACTGATAGCGAAGGCGACGCCCTGACATATGGCTAGACGTTCAGGTGAAAGGTCGTGAGAGTTTCAACGGAGGCGAGATAAAGTGACGCTGCGGGTTTGAACGACGTCACCGGAGCGCAAGTTTAAGGCCTCTTTTCGAGAACAAAAGAATGGTCCACGGTCGTTTCCCGTCGAGGTCTTTGGTAAACGCTACAAAGTGAGGATTTTGATTGAAGAACAAGAAAGTGTCCAGTGGATAGCTCCTTGCCTGATCATGATGACAAACACCTCCATGCGGATTAGGTAAAAATCCTATTTAGTAAGATCTCATATTGTTTGAGGTGCAAAGAACACTGGTTGGCGAGTGATAAAGCTTTACGATAGGACTCTTGCAAACTTTGAAAAGTCGCAAAGAATAAAATTCAGGATGTCAAGGGGTGCAGTGGAAGCTGCGCATATCGGCGACGGCTGGAAGTGATGAACCTTGTGAAATGTTCCTGTTGCAACTGACTTCAGTCTAACACAGGCTAAATTGAACTGGTCATTTCTACTTCGGGATATTCAGATTTTCGAGTACACGGGGAGTCAGGGCGGCGGCAAAAACTGGGAGACCTGGCGAGTACGTTTCGTATGCTTGCTTTGGTTAGACGTACCCTTCCACCATGGCACGAAGGTAAAATAAATGGTCGACGTAGGCGGTAACTGAAGCCGTTGTCTATCTCTTTTGACACAGTGGTAACCTGCGTCTGACAGAGGTGAGGATCTCCCGCAGAGGAATAGAATCAGATGTTGGCGTCATATATCAGTTTCGAGTTTTTATGTATAGTATTCTTCCACCTGAGCACCGCTTTATACAGCTGACGCCCAACTGCATGAAACGACGTGAAGTTTACGCCCGGTTTTAAATATTCACCACCTAAGTATACATATACCTAAATGTAATAGGCGCTACCATTCGTCTTTGCACCAGGGCACACCGGGTCTACTGAAATAACAGAATAATCCACTGAGCAGAATTATCTACCTGCTGATAATAATATTTTCGCCAAATACAGCAAAGGCTGAGTGTCAATCCTAAACCGGTCGTTTTGTCAACGTCGCTCAAAGTATAGCGCCTTATTTAGAAAGAAGAAGACTTCAGAGAATTACAACGGTCCCAAGGGTATTGAAACTATTAATTATACGATTTGATGCACTTGTTGTAGACAAATGCTAAATGAAACTGCCGGGTCCACCTTTTCATCAATATAATTACCGTGTCGAGCGGCACAGATACACTGTCGTTGCATCCCCAGTTGACTACTTCATTTTCTGTAACGATGATAAGTATCAGCCAACAGTTTTCGGCTATTTTTCCAAACAAACAACGAGATCAATACCACAACAACAAGCGATGGATGCGTGATTGATATGCGAATGGGAATGTTCCTCCTTCAATGAGTGAATGCGTGCTTCGTCGGAATACGTCTCACGGAAATTCAACAATATCTGTGCAGAATCTAGCAGACAGGCCTAGTTCCTTTGTTCGCCTTTTGTGAAAACACCAATCTCACAACGTTTCCAATGACGCGTAAGTAAAAACCCTGCCTGCAGTGCCCTTAAAGGATTATGGCGCTAATCTCGTTTGTTTATTAACCTTACAAAGTTTTACTGGTTTCCTCGAAAGGAAGCTATCAATACGCTTACAAGCATATTTAGTTTCGTCGATCCGTCAGCTTTATATTCGTCATATATGAATCTCGTCAGCAATGCACCGTTTAATTGATTTTTCAATGTACGATAATCTATACAGATGACCAGTCATTTCGAAACTATGCGGATTATTAATTGCTTACGATGCCATAATTGTATAGGCTCTTGGTTACTGGTTATACCACCAGTTGAGTTCAATTCTATTCTACACATATACTCGATTTGTTATGCTCACTGCAAAATATTTTTGCTACAAATGATGTCCCAAAAAGATGTTTCGCATTCATTATATCCAAGTACTCGCGCACGACTATTAGGATTACGGGAGTCCTTTTATTCATCTCGTCGATGAGTCTACTGCATAGTCCTTAATCTGTATATTATTCCTGCTTTTGAATCAAATTGCTCAGAATTGGCGAATGGTCATCTGTCCCTGGAGTTCCTCCAAGGAGCGGCTATTTGGGCTAGGTCTGCGAATACTTTGTCGCCATCTGGCTAGATGATCGCAGTGATTATTTTAATATACGGTCTCTAGACATACCTCATGTTTGTGGCCAGTGCTTTGGGCTCACCTTCAGCAAAAACACAAAAGAATGAGAAAACGTTTAAAGTAAATGTGAATATATGGCACCGACATCTAATAGCCGTGATGTATTTTATGCTCTAAATGCAGTTAGATATAAAAGTTCCATAACAAACTTCTATCTACATCAACGAACTGAGACATTCGAACAGTAACGGCCCTGTCCTATAGCAACTAACGGATAGCTGTTGGTCAAAAAAGAAATTTACAGTTCTTACTTTTAATAAGTTGTTTCTGTACAACGCACTCATTTAGAAATGGGATTTTATTTCCGGTCGTATCTTGAGAGCCTATCATAGTCAAGGACCTACCAATTAGAGCTTTGCCAAACAAAGAAAGTCGGCCACATCTATTGTCTTGGCTGGCCTTCCGCACCAAGAGCAAAGTTTATGAATTTTTTAAATTAGGGTTGGAATCTCTACCAAAGGGCGAATTGTATCACGAACCTCTCGATTGTTTAATCTATTCCACGGTCCTGATCTCCAGAACAAAATACGTTTTTGTTTTCTTTGTCTTACTTAACTCACATAATTACAGAAATCTTGGAGCTGTTACTACCAAAAAAACCACCGAAAGTCTGTGAATTCTTACTTGCGCAGCGGCCATCTGCTTGAGTAGCACTATCATTAATTATGAACATTGAATATAACATACGATAGATTTAAGGCTGTGTATCAGATTCGTCAAAGGCATTCACCGGAATGATTCTGTCGTCATTTCATCGTTAGGAAGAAGGGTTGGCAGTGTATTGTACAAATGATCTGTATTTGCTTTTGTTAGGGTCGTTTTTGAGGTGTGCCTTCTTTATAATTATAATCAGTATTATTATAAAAAATAATAATAATGCGAACTTAAAACCTGTGCAGCAATATTTGAAATATTAGGTCATTTTATTTGTTCGCTTTGCAAATAAATTACCTTACATATGTTTTTTTTTTATAGAGCGAAAGGCCGAAAAGATATTAATTGAGACTGGAGAAACAACAGGTTTCGATGAAAACTTCGGTATCTCAGATCTTCAGCCCGTTGAGGAGACTGACAGTTTCAGCCCAAATGTCCCTGAAATACAGAATGCTCCATCAGCTGAAAGTCCTTCGTCCGAATCGCCGGCAAAAAAAACTGCCGAAATGGGCGCCGTGGCTGCGGGGTTGGTATACTTTGTGATAGCGGATACTGCGTTACAAAAAAAATGTTTATTGATTTTACTCCTCTTGGATAATCTTGCTAATTCTCTATCTCTCTAAAACTTTTAAAGCTGCACGAAAAAATACAACAACTTAGGTACGCAGATTAATGAAAAGGGTAATCAGCTATAGATCGAACTTAAGGTTTCCGGAATTCTAAAATCTGATCCTTTTTATTACCAAGCCTATAGTTACTTTAATATATATTTCATATAAAATAGAAATTTTTCAATGACTGTAAACCAGATCTATTTGTTTAGGTGATACTTTGCTTTTATATCAAAAACTGATTCTATTAAATTAATTTACGGACCTACAGAAATTATATTCAATGGAACTTCTGCGACGTCTCTTTGGAACTTCGCATACATTGTCCAGTTCAAGTTTAATTTATTTGTGTATTTTATAGACGTTATCAGTTATTGACTGTTTTACACGCGATAAAAAATGTACACACAACCGGTCTATTATGGCCTAATAGACCGGTTGTGTGTGCATTTTTTATATATTCACATTTCCAAGGGGAGATGGCTTGTCTTCGCTGCGCCCGTCAAATCTAGCTTATTCGAAGTAGTGCCTTTAACACCTGATTGTATATGCTAATGCCACCTAAAATATGCAGACGGTCGCACATAGTCGCCCGTGATGTGGCTGCCGTCACACGTAATGTATCTAGCAAGTTATGTAGTTTTTGATATCCACGAGGTCTAGGGGAAGCCGAGATTGCATACGTTTGTATTGATCTGTGCAACGTTTGTAAACAATCATTCGAATTGTTATTTATTTCAATAATTGTGGAGGTTCTATTCAGTGGACTATTTTCTGGCTATTTCATGATGTGACCCACCTTTCCTCCAAAGTAGTTCCTTCTAAACTCGTGATTTAAAACAATGAAATCGATAGCGGTTCCGGCCGCCGCGCCGAAACCCAATGGTCGACAGGTCGTATGGCCCATAGACCACACGATGAGATCAGGTAAAATTCCTGTGACCTCTTTAAATTTATAGGAAAATTAAAGCCTATCCTTGTTAATATTTACCCAGTCAATTCACGCAATAGCATGCTCCGTCGGGTATATGCTGAGTAGGATTTTTGAGGGATTTCAGCTTTGACACACCGGCACGTATACATCGATTGCCTTTTTATACTGCTAAGTCATTCACTGTTTAATAATTCTAGGCAAAAGTTCAACAAAAAGATGTATATCATCGGTGGTGTCGTTGTGGTCATTATCATCGCTGTTGTAGTATTCCTATTTATCGGGGGGTCGTCAAAGAAAACGGAGCCTAAATCTACTAGGCCACTTCGGCCTTCCGGACACGTAGGCGCCTGCGCAATCGTGAAAATGAACGACACTGACGGCGTTTTAATGATGCAGCATAATGTTTCTATAATTGAAAGTGAACTTAAGAAGCCAAATATAGAAGGCCTGGTCTACGAGGTGCGTTTTTTGCTACTATCCTCGTTAAGTTTACTCGAAGCTCTATCTGGATATTTAATAAACTATGTAGGGAGAACGGGTCTGGTTCAGGAAGATAATTGACCATCAATCTGGGGTGAGTATTTTAGAAGCAATGGGTCTCCGTCCACGCGTCTGCAATTTTTTTCAGTGAATTAGGTAATAATAATCGCCACAAATCGAATCCTCATAATAGTCAATACAATCTTTATAATATCAGCCTCCACTTAATTTCGCTAGCAGGAGAAGTCAATATATCGCCAACATATTCACTGACGTCTCTTCCTGGAAAAATTGGACGAGAACAGGTACCAAGCGACGTTGTTCATAAGTGATTTAGATAGCTCTACTTACTAGAGAACCTCAGTGGGTTGACGTACCGAGAAAGACCGCGTTATGGCCCACCTGACGTGGGCACACACAATCTAACGCCGCAGCCATTGATTTATAGCATTCGCCCCAAAAAGAAATACGCTGTAGTATAACAAATAGGACGAGAACTGCAGGCGGAACCTACGTAAGGTTAGATTCTAACTTATTGCTGAAGGTAATTCAAGGAAGTGCTTTTTGTCATTTGTATATTTTTCTGCGTACGAACTTCTTTCCAAGAAGTTACATTATAACATGCACAATGTTCAGTCTTACAGCGTTTAGCGCGTCAATAAAATACAGATCTGCTTTTTTGAAAAAAATATGTTTAAACATACAAGCAATTCATTTTATCGTTATTCACACCCCTAGAAACCAAGGATCCTGCACAGTTTCTTTAAATGGTAGATGAAGATAATCGTTTTCACACACCGTCACTAACGTCCCTAACACAATGTTGTGTGTAACACCCAAAAGTTACTGCTTGATTCTCTCGGAAACCATTTAAATCGGTTGAAACAATACGCGAAGAAGCACAGCACAAGAAGACACTACAGTCACACACGTCACTTCTTGTACACATGCAGCACGCCGCTACGTCTAACTGCCGTTATATATCTGTTGTGTACTTTTAATAGTATGCCGCAAAAATGTCGGTACCTCAAGAAAGCGCCGAAGAGAAAGACGGGACGAACTTCATAGCTTTCGTATTTCCGTCAACTGCAAAAACCAGCACGATCATATATCGTTTTGGAAGCTGCTCTTCGGGCAAAACCCTACCAATCGTTGAACACGAATTCGGCGCTGGGAACATGCCAAAGTAATTACCATCAATTTGTTTTTCAGCATACACCAGCAATAAAACAAAAAAAATAACATAGATCAATATTGAAAGCCAGTGTAGAGTTAAATTAGTTACGGCCTTTCCATTAATTTAGCTATTTAGGTGGACTTAAACTGCACCGTAATTATTCTTTTTTTCGCACTTTGTTAACAGAAACACCGGTCCGTTTATCGATATCGAACCTGTTATTTAATTTCAGCCGTGAAGCTTTGGAAGGAGTTGTTCCAAAGGCTAAACAGAGTGGCAACTTTGACTGCACACTTGAGTCACTCCCGATTGACGGAGCTAATCAGAAGGTGTTAACGTTGACTATGTTAGCTGAGTTCGACTTTCTCCATAAGAAATTCCAGGTGAAAAAGTGCGCCTCGACATATAGCTCCTGTGCGACAGTATATTCCATAGCGGTAAGTGAAAAGGGACAGAACGTTTAGCCAGTGTATCTCCACTATAACGTTAAACGCTAAAAGGGGGTTTTATATTTACTGTAGACAAATTAACTTACATGACAAGTACCTGTCGCGTTTTGCTGCTGCTGCAGGGTCTGCACAAATTGTCCTCCCTATTGTTTTTCATACATTATGAACTTCAGATTTGACTTCGTGCTGCAGCAAAGGGACATCATATAAACGCAATTTTCCAATTTCTAAAGTATTCTTTCTAGTATAAAATCTCTCGTAATAAAATGTCCCAATACTTAACAAGACAGCTATGCAGTCTTGTTAAGTACTGATGACTTACTATTTGTTCGCTGTTTGTAAATATTACTGTTTCTTATCTTGGCTTGAAAGTTATGTTGACTAAAATGAGATAACTACAGTGAAAAAAGTAAGTAAATGTAATTACTAGGAGAAAATTTTGGCGATTTTTTTTTCCTTTAACGGTCTCATTGAACTTTAAGATTACGTGTGACGATAGTTTTTTTTCTACACCTTGCAGGATTCGGGTTTAAAGCCGCAGGAAAATATGCCCATCCTTATAATCCCATCATGGAAGGAAGTCAAGTACTTCCCCCACAAAGGCAAGCCCATGGACCTAGCAGGTTATGGGTCCCCGCTTCAAGACACTCCTATAAAGATACTTCGATCTGAAATCACCGACTGCATAGAACGATATAAAGAAGCTGACGGTACGACTAAAGCCAAGATTCTCTAAAGTTTATTCGAGCTTCTTGACTTGCAAACGTCCCTTCGAGCCGAATTCGCATTTGACAAACAGTTACGACAACGGTGAGCAGCGGGACGATGATACCGTCACATGAGGCGCAGAGCGGATCATTTGGTGTTTACATATTTTATCTCCGAAATATCCATTCATGTTACCTTGACATAATTGTGTATATAACCATCCATTTTGTACTGATTTCATCATGGATTTGCATCAGCGAGGACGCGCGCCGGATAACGCAAGTGAAAGCTAAGAGCTGGAGAAGCGATGCCCACTAATGTAATAGTTTTCCGTTTAAATGACGCACCTATGTATGTTCTAATAAAGCCACTAATTGGTATATGTGCGAACTCTAACAAAATACACATGGAAGGAGGCGTGATGGAAATCGAAAATCCGAATTGAACTGGGCAGGACGAGAAGGGGTCAAAGCATTTTCCCGCTCACAGTGGGCTGTCAATGAACCGATCATTTTCATGTTGGGGTATTCTGCGTTCGGGGTTTTAGGGGACGCGGGTTATTGAAACTGTTAAATGTGAAAAAAAACACGATTATGTCGCCTTCTGATCACAGATCAGAGACGACGTTCTGCCAGGACAAGAGAAAGGTAAATCGAGTGGCTCGACAAATTAAATGGAAACGGAAGCGATAAATTGACCTGTCCTTTCGAACAGTTGTCGTCTACGTCGTCTGATAAAAAAGAAGAGTTCTACGTAAATAAATAGGGTATGACGTCATCATCTGGATGCCAGGCATTCCGGGTTAGGGATGCGGTACAACAAAGGCGCTCGACACGGAATCTTGTCTTCACTACGTATGTTGTTTTTAACCAAAAGTATATCTTATTTGTTTCTAACATATCTCATTTGTATGTTCTTAGAATATTTACTATAATATACGAGATTAGTTGAGATTTTGAATAACTAGCAATCTATGGTAATAATGCCTGGTGAACAAGAGATTATATATTATAAAGTTAGAAGAGAGAGAGAGATGTGAAGCCGGACTCCTCATACGCCTGCATTTTCGTCACTGTGATCGTTGCGGCACCACGTAGATTCTCGTCATGCAACCTAAGTGCTTTAGCTTTTTTTTCACTCATCTTAGCCGCTTAATCAGAAGTATCTTCATTATCTCCTCCTGAATAGCCTGAAGCGTAATTGAGCCGCAAGCGATGAACCAGGACCTATGAAACCGCAGCGGATAACAACTTCACTAAATTACCGAGCAGACGCTATTAGCTTTTCCATCTGTGCATTTGCATAGGGCGATGCCCCGCCAGTTTAGACACATTGATTCACTCATGTGACGGCCCGCAATTATCATAGATTTTATTCACTTAATTTTGATTTCGCTTAGTACAAACTTTTCATTCATTACAGTTACGATTCGACCTAAGAGTAAGTTGCTATCGTATCGTGAAGGCAAAGAGCAACAATCGTCTTTTCGTTGCCATCGTGCGACACGCCGTTGTCCATTTTTTACCTTATGAATTTAGCCGAGGTGAACGAGCGCGGTATTTTTACATACCCCAATGTTGAGTGCTAACGTCCGTGAACTTCAGCCCGCTCTTATTACAGCTTGAGTTTTAATAGCTCAGTTCCGAAATTTCCTTTTTTAGTGCAATTTTCCTGCCCTGAGAGTATAAGTGCATCTTGAAGACAAAATAAATTGATAACAAAATGCCGCACCATTATAAAGTAACGTCATTTTTAAATATATAATATTGTTTGCAGTTCACTTGGACGACGTATTATAAAAACCATAGACATGGCGCCACATCAGTGTGTGAAGTCATAAAGGGTACACAACAGGCACAGAACTGTCCTACTTTGGGTGGTTCGTTGTCATCATCGAAGTAATAGTGTTTGTTTTGTGGTGACAACTTTCGACGAATGTTTAGTCCTCAGCGTCTTGCGAACGTTAGAGCAGCGTGATTTGGTAACGAATATATTCTCTCTTACCAACCAATAACGGTAGTTTAAATCTGTGTTACAAAGAACAACGACAAGACTGTCAAAAAGAAAAAATGACAGAATACTAGTTCCACACACTGCTAATACAATTTTTCGACCGTCGCATGGTTCCGTGATGATTGTTTGTTTACGAAATTTAAAGATATCTGAGGTAACCTAGATTGTAAGCTGCGCATAAACACGAATCGTTTTAAGCGCTGGTAGGAGTCAGCTGTTTACTCAGCAATTAATTCATAGTGATCGTACTGATTTAATAGAGCAAGGTCCTTGTGATAACTTAGTGGGTAACGTACTTTGCCTGCTAATCTTAGAGACACATGCTGGTCTGGGTCTGAATCCGGGTGTACACATACTTGATAGTGTGCGAAGCCAGCGGTACCTAGTGGCGATGTTGGACGTAAAATTTGAGACAACTAGGTCTTCTGAAGGAAGCCCAAATACATCCAACAAACCCCACTTTACCGTCTTCCAAGCAATACAGGAAAGTGATGCGGAAGATTTATCCACACAACAGAACAGCTGATGGGTTTAACGCCTTGATCGTGCAGCCCTTCAGATTAGATAGATTTCCGCATTCGCTTCACAACAAATTATAGCTAACGAAGTGGTAAGTCCAAAGAAGCAGTGAGATGACATTAACAAGGGTTCACAAAAGATGGACGGACATATCACTATATGGAAATGCTCCTTCCCCTGCTAGTTGCTATGCGCGCTCGCTAAATCAGCGTCATGGCAACGCACTCGTAAATGTGTATATGACGAAGATTCGGTCGTCCTGGTCAACAAAAAACAGACATTGTTGACTCTAAAGCCTCTGCAGTGTTTGTGGCCTTTAAAATATCTACCTACAGAGCCCCATTTATAATCCCTTGCTCTTATCGCACCCGGTTAATAACGAACGCAGTGTTTATGAAACGGTTAGAACAAATTGTTATTGATCTACGATCAAAAACGCTGCGAACTTCTATTCATATATGGTAATATGGAATTCATATTTGGTAATAACAACTTTGATATTTTGGTACGTTCGGTAAGAACTGTAGTATACAACGAAAGGGTGAAAATAATTTTCCTTACGAACTGGGCGATCTTTGCTCTTAGCAGTACCTTGACGTAGTATTCTTTATTCCGCACGGTAACGATCTTCATTTTGGTTAGTGACAAAAAGCCCTAGCCAATGTAAACACTATGATTTTACTGTTTCTGTCGATAGCGAACATCCTTAGTTGCAGCAGAACCATAACGTAGTGATTATTGTTACTAAACTAGTAGCAGCAATCATTACGTTACTGCAACCATATGTAGCACTTAATCTGCTATTAGAACTGTGACAGGTCTCTGAAAAAGGAAAAACTATTATAACATACATAGTGCATTTAGGTAAGTTGGCCACGTTGTATCTCTATAATATGCAGCAAGTTTCCGTTGCAATTGAGAAGCGTACTAATTATAGTTCCGAAGTTCGAAAATTCCGAATTTTCAAAACTGATCAAAAATGATTGCACCGAGTTTTTAATATGAATTTGTCGAAAGCGAGTTTTTCGACCCTTTGAGTGGGTTGATAGCGTTGGAAAAGATAAGACGCAATAGTACGTCAAAAAGTTTTCGGAAAAGGGACGGGCTGATCGCACTGCAGTCGGCTAGATTGGTATCGGTAATAATAAGGTTTTGGTATAGAAACAAAGGTTACATCCACGCTCGAATATTACGCTGTGAACATCTTAAAAGCAAAACTCACGTGCGCACGATCTCAGTAAACCCACGAACACAAATGATCTTTTAATGCCACTACTTCTTAAGATAGAATTTTGAGTAACTATCAATGACCACATTTTCTGACGGAAAAAGCCGTACAGTAAAAAGGTGCTATAAAATTCATGAAGTTTATCGTTGAATATATTTCAAATGCAACTTGACTTATTGGCCGAAATACGTATAGAATTAAAAATCAAATTTTCGTTTTTTATAAATTTTGCTTTCGTAGCTCCAGCCGAGTTTCCCTTGGTTCCTACTGCCGTGTCAGCTGTATCAAACTGATAGCACATTCTGAGATCTTGTTTGAGATCTCTAGCAGTCTTGTTTTTCAAAACAATATTGGATAAGAACAAAAAAAGAACGCGTATAGGCACTCGTTTTAAGATGGTCTTATTCGTCTCGAAATTAGCTTTCCAAAGCAGTTTGGCTTATGTCTTCACCCGTTACTAGACTACGGGGCGTCCGACGAATTGATGAGGGTTGGAGATCCAGTCCTGGGAACTGCTTGTATCTGAAAGCCGGTATGCATAGGTATTTTTATCTCAAGACGGAATTGGCCGCCAACGCTCTAAAAATACTCAGCCATGCCCCCCTGAACATAGGAACTGCGTGTCAGGAGATCCTCGTGCTCGCAAAGAATTATGGTTCTTATAGTTCGTGCTGGCAGATCACTCAGTGTTATCGATCGTTTGTAGCAATACACTTTAGGCCGTTCACAATGATCCGATATTCTATCCGATAACGTGTTTTTGTTGTTGTCTAACTTTTCATCGCGAGTGTATATAGAAGGCGATTCTTAACCCATTTTTCTCAGTGAACTGCCTTCCTCTAAGAAGAACACTTGTTTCCGATACTTGCCGTAATACTAACCTCACCTGGGTAGTCCGAGAGCATTTCTTCTTAACAATCGAATAAGCGTTTTCGACAGAGCTTTTCTGCACTAACAGTCAATATGTCCTACGCGGAGTGCGTTACATAAAAGTCAAGTCCTTGAGCCCTGACAAAAGCTGGACACTCGAGAGATACAAACGTACAGAAAGGGAAGCTAAAAACAAGTCGTGATGTGCTTGTTTTTCGTGGTAAAAATATGGTATCTCTGAGGTGTCTTCATCTGGCCTACGAATCGACATCTCCTTTCCATTGTTGTTGTTTGAGTAAAACAATTAAACCTCATTTAGACATTCGTATACAAATATCAAGCGATCTCTGAATATTGTTCTATTTAAGTTTAGAGAACAACGATGCGTGCTCTATACAAGACTTCGACTAAACACAACACGTCAGCGAATAGCCATTTTCTTAATACGGCCTTGATGAGATGATTTGGTAAATCCCGATGGGATTAAATTTTAGCCGAGAATCAGAAGATGACGTCAAATGATCTCAGTATGCCTGTAAAACTATTGTAATTGCTCTGTATTGCATTGATAACAAAGCTTTTACTGTTTCTGTCAGCGGTTTTCTAGCAGTACTAACGAAGACTGACTCATGTCACTTCTTTTTCCTTAGTAATTTGCATATGTTGCGGGCATTTTTATCATTTGCTGCATATCTTTAAAGTAAAAAAAAAGTCTCACAATGGCGTTAAGTATTAGTGTGTAGATAGCTAAGTGTTTGCTAAGTGAATTCAGTTACCCTCACATTACCCGGTAAACTATTGGTTACCCTAAAGTGATGATTAGTAACGACCAGCAAATATAACGTATTACAATTAAGTCTTTAAATAGAAATACGAATCAATGGATGATTTTCTCCAAACCAGAAAACCGGGAGCATAATATTCCGGACTGATGAGACAAGAACAGTGGAGGAGAGCTTCGGGATCTCGGATGTTCAACCCGCATATGAAACCGAGAGTATCGGTCCAAACGTCCCTGATATACGGTCTGCGTCGACATTTCACCGTAGGCCAAAACAACTAAGGAACGAGAAACGGCGTGGAACGCAAGCGTAAGTCGCTACTGCCGTACCAATATAAAATTGTATTTCTATCTGAATACTGAGTGGAAATCTGTGAGACTTTTGAAGGACCGCTACAAACTGTATCTTCACATCCGATTGCAGGGATTGGATTAAAGTTGCCTGAATCACTAATGGCCTGCACTTGGCTTCAATGGAGCGATACATCTGAATTCCCTATCACAATTCCAACAGTATTTCACCTATCAAATGTATGCGTCTTATGGTATCACACGCTTCTGCCGGGAACTGGTCTTCAACAGCCATACTATGTTATCTCTGTCATTCAACGACCGCAGCAATCCATCGAGCAATGTTGGCACCTTTGGCCTTAAGATGAAATGAACAAGTGCCAATTGCTTGCATACGAACGAAATCGTGTGTTATTTTGCCTGTTTCATTCAAAGGTCTCGCAGGAGAATACAGCCTGGTTGCCGTTATAGTGGGCGTTGTTACAGCTGCAATTTTATTTTATCAGAGGCACATTGATGGTTAAAATGTTTGATAACCCTAAACTATCTCGGCCTACAGGACACCTAGTCACCTGTACGCTCGTGAAAATGGATAATAATAACGACACGTTGACTATGACCCATGATGTTTCCATAATCAGAAATGTACTCAAGTAAAAAAAAAACGTGGAGGGCATGGTATGAGGTGCGTGTTCATTTATATGGCTATCAAAAACTTTGTCCGTCTTTAATCCATGCTAGAATCTCAATTTTGATATGCGAGCTAGTTGAAAAGGGTATATGGATGTCAGTTTTCAAAACGGGGCCCTTTTTCAAGTTTGGGGTGTGGGGAGATCTTCTGTTCGGTACCTAGAGACGTGTCTAATTTTGTTGTAATAGGAAGATCTCCTAGAATTCATTTATTCAACCACTACATAGAAATTTCACTGACTGGGATTTAGTGTAGGTCTTTACACAGGTATTTAATATAAGGGCGTATTCTGGATCTAGGTAGGGTATAGCTATACAAAATGGTGTAGTATAGAGATATAACTAACTATACGATATCTGAGCATCCAAGAAAATGTGTTATTATTTATTTTTCGCTACTAATGTCTTCAGTAAAATGAACACAATCGGCTACATCGTCGGAGACTGCTTAAGCCTCAGCCACGAAAAACTGACTGTAAACCAGTGTGGATTCCCCTCCAAGCTTGTTTTTTTTACAGATTTTCCTAATATGTCAAAAGTTTCCAACGGTCACTGAACGAAACAAATTGCGCTGATATTTTAGTCGACGTGGAGAAGATACCGAAATAATTATATCTTAGGGCAAAAAATGACGAAGCATAGCGAGGATTTGTGCTATTTCGTTAATTATTCTATTTCCGACTCTTTCGACCAAGTTTTCATTACCGATACACGGAGTAGTTTTTTAATCATGCGGAAATTTATTAAATTCAGTCTGTAGCTACGTTATTAACCTATTGTTTACTTTCAGATATGATCATTGTTGAGAAAATTAAAGTCTTTTTATACTTTATCTCGAAGAAGTTCCCGCTAAGGAATTGGGGCAAGACGCATGTCACCAGTACAACGGTGTATTCCACAGCGTAAGCGAAAACCAGCAGATTATATGGCCTTCTGTCGACTTGGTCACCTAGAGAAGTTTGGTATATGCTAAATCAGCTACTTGCTCTATGAAGTTCAAAGTTACTCGCAGCTACGATTTAGCAGTTCATGCGCCTGCCTTAAGGTCGGTTGTTCCGAAGTGGCTTCACGTGACAAGTCTTTGTGCAACTCTGCTACTTGTGACGTATTGCGTTGTCGTTTGTAGACAATTGAAATTCGTACGCTCTATAGATATGGAAAGCGTAAGTTAATAAGTCATAAATGGTGATATAAAGTTACTGCAATAGGCAATTCGTTATAAGGCTTTTTAGTTACACTCTGCAAATGCGAATAGGGACGTTCTGCTACTAGTACGATAGGTGTATAAAGATTCAAAGAAATTGAAACAAATCATATTTTTCTTCTTCTTCTTGAAACATCAATATTCTTGTTCAATATATGGGGACAGAGGCTATAAATAAAGCTTTATATCGACTACTAATGATACTGTGTGGAAGGATCAGCAGTTCATCAACGGGCACAGATAAGGTATAAATCTTTGTTTTGCAGTTCCTTCAAACATACCATTAACTGGAATCGACAGGGCTTCATTTTTGTAGAACCGTACCTTCGAGAGACTAGGCCGCGAGGCCTTCGGCAATGAAAGAATTCGTTGCAATGTAATTACAAACTTATTTCGTTTATATGCTGTCCTTAGGAAATTTAGTTATCGAAATCAAAGTTGTATAGACGCGTCTCAAACAAATGTTGACTTTGATGATATCTGATGATTATTTGCAGCGCTAACGTTTCACTGTTTGAACAAATTGGATTGTCCCACATCGCCACGACTTCTCATGCTGTAACTACTGTCTCTTCTTCGGGGATTCGGGTCAGAAATCGCTATCGGCAACGTTAGTTCCTGGTCATGGATACAAATGCAATATATCGTCCACAAGGAAAAACCCATGGGGCTATCTAGCCGATAGGCTCTGTCTGAAACCTCCATGAAAGGCTTAGGTCACAGGTTATCGACTGCTTAGGTAGAGATCATGGGCCGATTGAGACCAAAACTTCACTGCTCAGTTTTTAGTGCGGACGAAGGTCCATCCGCGTACGTGCGCGGTAAATTGGGCTGAAATGGTGCTACTGGCATGCAACATCATATAATTTCGTACTTACACACCTTACCACAAACTGTTAGCTCATATAATCTAAAATAATTCTCTACATAGTCGTAAATCTTGTATTGATTCTGTGTGGGTTCACTGTATTTATGAGGTCGCGGAAGGCATACTAGGCAGATAGTGTTCATGAACTGATGAGCTAAAGGCATATCTATGATGTGTTCCTCCGTTGCAGAACCACTGATCATTTGCATATATTATCTATCCTGATGATTTGCTGCACTTAACTAGACAATTTTGTATGTCAGACGTTTTTGTAATCGTCCGTATTCATATCCGATGTATCGTACGTTAGAGAAAACGCGCCAATTGTGCAAATATATTTTGTAACTAAGAAGTGGAAGTTTTAAAGCGTTAGGATTACCGTTTTGAAAACGGTAAGTTAGTTTAAACAGCATCCGTATCGATCCCTTTTTTAGGTACGAAGCCTATTTTTTTTCTCTTCTGTAGACTTTTACGCTTTATTTCTATAGAAGCTTGCCATCTCCCAAAGGCGTTCCCTGACATCCTTTGTCTTTGTCGCTCTTTCTTCATTATACTGCCTCGTTTTTTGTTCCCGTACTATCTCTGATTCGTGTTATACGCGTCGTTAACCCAGAGTTAAACAATATTGCAGTGCTCTGCGATCTGAAGGAATGATCCCTTACAGTGTAAGCCAGTTGAGTAACCCGTTAGTTATACAGTGCCGCCATCATATGAAGATTTTTCATTCAGTTCCTAATGTAAGTTATATCTCGGGAAACTGTTCAAAGAAGTTGCGCAATAGAGATTCTATGACGATTGAGACTGCGTCGAGCAAGCGTGGGCAGTTCCTCGAAACCGTGCATGAGTTCGACTCCCCAACTGTATTATAGCATTGGAATAGTTAAATTTATCTTCTTTCCATTCGAAAATACCTTCCCAATAACCAGCAAAGCAGTGAGTTCTTTGAAATATTCCTTATAACAGTGTTTGTAAACCTTTCCTGCGTTCTTTTTTAATCGCTTTGCTGTCCTCTAGAAAAAAAATGTTGATGTTTACTTCTTTTTAACGAACTTCATGAACTTAGAAATAGCCTTTATCAGCTAGCGCCTATCCGTAGTGCTCACTGCGTTCGTTTTTAATGTTGAATATATAGCACTAGCCCAAGGCTAAGATTTGTTTTGGGCTTTATGGAACTCACCAAACCCATCGAAATATCAATTTGTTGTATGATTTTTTTTCTTTAATAAGTATAGGACTCCCACATGACCGTGAGCAAATACTTTAGTAATTCATCCTTCGGATTAGTACGTATGAAACAAAAAAAAAGGTACGGTTCACCTGTCCAGTGTCTTATTAGTACTGACCTATTTGTCGTCAACTAATAAAACGGCATGGATCTTTTCTTATTCGTGGAAGCAATACGTAGGGTTATGTTTGGATTTGTAGATGTAAAAAACTGGCCATTCTTTTTTACACACAATCACTCATTTCTTACACGTTTGGTTGGAAGCGTTAACGACACGTTGGTTTGCGTCTTCATAAATTTAGTTTGACTTCTTCGCCTAGAAAAGGATCCGAGGACGAAACTTTATTTGATAAAAAACATGAGCGCAGATTGAAGTTGGTGATGAAAAATTTGCGGGGCAATACTTTATAAATCTAAGACACAAGAAAAAACTTCCGCGAAGACAAGCACTAGCTGGATATAATAAAAAGTTACACTTAGTATTACTTGCGTGACTTCCAATAGCTCCGACATTGTGTGTCAGACATAAAATTCAACGTTAAAACGTAGAAGTTCTTAGATGGCAATTGCAGAGTGAAACTATTATTTTTACATAATTAGTATATTTAATACTGTTTATTCTGTTTATGTCGGTAAGTACGTCGTTTCATTTAATGTTGCATATACTGATTGTAACTACGTAACATAGTAAAATGTTCTTGATATTTCTATTCTCTCTTCATTCGATTGATAGAAAGGTATCTTTTCGAACCCACAATTGAAATCAATATGTTTTACCTTATTTTTTAGAGTATTGCTATACGGCGTTACCATTTCTACTAGAGTCCAATGTCATGTCTTGCGTATTATAAACCCATAGAGTCATTGAAATACCTCGTTTCAATTTTCTCAATCTTTTATGTGCTTTCCGAGTTTCTCATCATTTCTATTTTCGAACAGTGTATTTACTCAAATAGGGCAGTTCGTATGGGGTTTTCTTCTCTGTCAACTAATTCTGCTACTTGCCTCGATAGGTTCCAACTCAATGGCCCTCTGACAATGGAGAGCTTTGGTACGACCGTTGTATGGCACTGTTTAATAAAGTCGGCCTAGCCTTTTGGTTGAATGGCCTTATTAAACCGAGTGAGCATGACTGTTTTTATTAAATGTTATAACATCGTGTTATCTGGCTGGCTGCGAGCACAAGCGACACCATTAACATGAAATTAACAACAATACAATCCGTATACCGTAAATTAAACTAAATTTAAATTTCGCGCGTTTTCGCGCCTATGCGCATCTTCAGTTCTCGCATCTAGCTAAGTTGATTTCACTCGTCACCTATAAATATAGTTTCTATCAGTCTTTTTTTCTCTGAATTTATGAAATTCCCACATTAACTCTATCATTATTAGACAGATACAATGATATCCCACTTGCGGAAATAAACTCAATATTTAAAACAATGTCGCGCACGATAACCATTTCAATAACCGCTAATATCCTCAAGGAGCCTAATACAGAAGTTCTAGTTTTTCTTCAGTCTATATTATCTGCTCAGGAAAAAGACCGAAAATCCAAGCGAATCCGACGGATTTTAAAACCATATTTAAATTAATTTGACCTTCAAATTAGTTGGGCTAGAGTGATAATTTAATGTGCTGCCCACGATTTGCCGCTTTTGGAGCATGGGAAACCCACAGACGAATTTAGGCCGACAGAATACGCAGGTTGAAACCCGTCTTGGATATTTACTTTGCTCAATCTAGGAAGTAATTAAGGTCTGACATTGCGATTAAGTAACCAGGTTATTTTCGATTGCCGTGCCAATAACGAGATAGCGGACTGCATTCATTGTTTCATTTTCAGCGTGTACCTTATAGCAGTAGGTGCCGCTGATGTTCAGTGCAAACGCTATTATCGCCTTACCTCTGGGCCTATTTGTCGCTGACCCCCCGCACTCAACTTCTCCTCAGGGCAATGCCATTTTCTGTTCGGTTGGCCTCAGAGATTGAACCGTATGCCACTAGTGGGTTTTTGCATTTCTAACTGGCCAGGGTTATTACCAAAATAGTCATTTCTTATCCTGCATCCTCAGTATCTGAGTTATGATTCTGTAATGTCAATTTTTGCCGACAGAGCCTTTGGATTCCAAGCTCTGCCTTCTGCGAAAAAAGCCTTCTCGATTGCAGCAATACGTCCTCGTCCTTTAGATCCCAATATCTAATCACTTCCTCGCTAGTTCTGAACACTCCAATTTCTGTTTTTAGAAGGTTTGCATTTTTTACGTACTGCGCTTTAGTTTAAAGCCTTTTTGCCTAATGCCTTAACCAGTCTTCGATAAATTTGCGCAGCGCTTTGAGCTTCGATGGATAAAAACTTTATCACTGGTCGTCGATTTTTCGAGACGCAAACTCTTCCTGTAAAGCGATGTCTCTTAAATGAAATTCAACGAGTTTTCACTGAAAAATCTTTAGACAACTAAAACATTTACCAACCAAATTTCGACTGCGATCGTTGTAAAATATGTAATTTCAAAGTCCGACTTGTAGCAGAGTAATAACTTAATAATGCTTTACCAAAGCGAAGATAATGCTTATTTGCGATTTGGTAAAGTAGACTAAATTAAGCAACTCACAAATAAATTATTTTAAAAAATAGCGCAACCAATTTACATAGAAAAACTACACTTTACAGGGGTAGAATTAAACACATTTTTACAAACGGGCCATTTTGCATATTTTTTTCTTAACAAAATGCATTTTTTTTTCTATAAACGTACTTATACTACATATAAAATTATTATTGTACTTAGAGTACTAGACATATTGCAGAAAGGCCGTTATAGGATCTCTGGACATTTTTCCCAAGTTTGACCGATACAGCTCATTAACAAAAGACAATACTGAGAAAACTTTATCTTTACATTTCACTAGTTAGATAATCACACAACCTTCGTATAATATTTCGTATGTATTTGGCGATAATAAATAGTTACTCTACCAACTATGTTACGTAAATCCGTTGACGATGGGTTAACGCAAGTTGCGAGAAATGTTGAGTAATTTCTTTACACGAGCTGAGCTCGTGTAGGTCACTTCCGGCCGACATTTGCCTATGCTAAAAACTATAATCAGATAAGTAACCCAAAATGGATCGCAATATACTCACAAGTATACGCAAATAGAGCGATCTCGCTCAGCCATTTGGCACATAACCACGCAGTACCCGGTCGCACTCTTTGAGAGGAAAAAGTGGTTAGTATTACTATATCTGAAACATCTGGACGTCAGATTCAAGCTGCTGGTGGACTCACTACTCCAACGCTTGATTATAGAATCCCGCTATCACGTGACGTTGTTTCCAAGTCAGAATATCCGGCCGTTGACGGGTCAACGTTAGTCCTATTGCTTCTTAAAGTCGACCAATGCGACGAGCCCTGTCAAGAAGCTCTTCCGAGCGCCTATTTCAACCCTTGTAGATAACGAAGCGGTTTTATCGGGCTGCTATCCGGTTGACCTCTTGAATACGATGGAAAAAGATCAGGAGACTCATGAGGACGAAGAGTCAGATTCCGAATCGGAATCCGACCCGGAGTCCGAGACCGACTCCGATGAAGGAAGTCAGTTCACTGAAGACTCTGAGTAAGTTCAGAAATGCAAACGCCCTAGGACAAACAATCGTGATTCATGAAATGACAAAATATAGCATATATATCATAGAGTCCACCATGGTGACAAGCAACAAAAGCGCGTTCTAAGACTCTAAGCACAATTCTATATATGATAGCGTCACTACGTTCGCGGATATATTCGTTCAACTGGTTGTAGAAATCAAGTAAACAGGGGAAAATGTTAAAGTTGAAAAAGGTAAAGAAGAAAGCATTATTCGTGGTGAAGTAAGGCATTCATTTTCCGCAAGGGAAGCTCCAGAGGATCTCTATTTGTGCGAAATGGATAACAGTGTATAAGTGATGAGCCCGCGAAACAACCTGAAGCTGAGGTAGACGTATTCGTGATAACGACCATGTGTAGTCAAAGTGAACATGATAATTTATCAACAGCGATGCGATTATATCTTCAGAAAGCGGGATTGTAAGGACAGGTTATAGATTTGTCTACGGTGAATATTAGGAAGGAACACAATGAAATTAGATGAGACAATTTTTATAAAGATTGATTTTGAAAAGCTCATCTGCAAAGAACACCTGCATACGAGACGCCTTTTCAATACTCGGTAGCAGGGGGCTATATCTCAGCAGTCAAGTACGAAGGGAAACCTTATTTGCTTACTTTATCTGAACAGCAATCAATATCTAAGACACGTCTCTAACAAGGATCCTGGTGATCTGAAGTAAGATCATGCGGAACATCAATGATGAGATTATTTTGAACGAGATCTGGAGAGCCTGAAACACCGATCTTCTGAAATGTTTAATATCTACTGCGATGCGATGAACATCTACGTACAATATTTTACTGATAGAATGTATAGTGGTGTACATACTGAGGGAGAAGCAGAACTTCTTGGTAAGCTGATTTTAAAATAAATCTTTCTGAGTTTTACCTTCGGTATTGCAACCGTTAGACAGGCGATTGGCTCCTAACGCGAAACGATGTGCGTCTACACCCAAATCTTAACCAAAATCGCCGTGTTCACGTGTTCTCGAGCTTGGTAGGCAAACGGGTCAGCGTTGCACTACTACAGGGTCAGTGAGCTTAAATGAGAAACTAAAATGTTTGATTTGCTAACAGGCAAGAATGTGAACCGGGACTACATGCTTGTGAATTGGCAACACTAGGTCACCTGGTAATAATGGCAGGCGTTAGTTGGACGCCATGATTACCTCCAAGTTCTCCAGTTGCTACCTGTGAGCGTTTTGTGCCTGTTTCTTAAGCTTATATCCTGTCAGCGTTCAAAGTAAGGGTGCTACTTTGTAAATATGACCTATTCAATACCACAGCTTGAAGAACCGCCGAGCGTATCTCCTGCGCATTCTCTACCGATTGTCGTAGAAGATATCTAGTCGATTGTTTCGTCATCTACGCTGAAAATCCTATATGTCGGCTGATATGTTTGTTTCATTAACCGTATTTTGCACTGTTAAGAAATTACCGGACGAATATATTTACTTATCGGCTGCTGTGTACTCCCAACGAAATCGGTGCTATAATAACAACCGTAGCGTGGTTATTTCCAAAGTTTCTAGTCCCGGCAGTACTTACTCAGTTTCTTTGTTAGCTTTGCTGCGGGAAGACTTAATTGTGTATCAGCTGTAGGATTGAATGCTACCTGGCTCATTAACGTTGAAACAACAAAAAATAAAGAACTGTAAAACGACGCTACATCCAATGACGTGTTCATTCGTGCGTTTATGTAACCACAAGCGCTTGCTGAGAGCTACCAAACGATTTGGTTAATAACCTGGAAGATTACTACCTGTTGCTGACTGACATGGTGCTCGATGTTAAAATCACGGAACGTGATAGCCCTTGTCCTTCGACGGAGGAACCGAACAGGGAAAAAATACTTAGCAATGAGGGGAGATCCGCTTGTTCAACAATGATAGCGTTGCAGTTTGCAGCCTAAATGCACTGTGTTGTAGGAATATTTCCTCGAAACTATTACAGCTTCTGTTTATCCGTTCCGATATAGCGTCACGTTGAGTTGAACATAATAATCAATAACGTGTTCTTTCGCGGGCGTTGATTCCGGGGCATTGACATGTCAACGTATAGGTGAGTGGACCAAGTGTATACTAATGATAGATCCACAAGAAACCCAAAGGCTCCACGTTCGAATAAAGAAGTTGGACCTTCTGATCCTATCAGGTACATGGGAACTGTAAACGAAAAGACGAGTGCCAATAATTTAGCTATACAACGAGCCATTCTAAGTATGATCAGAATTATCATTTCAAAGTAACTCATCGAAATGTACCTGGCTTAACGGGCGAACCGCTGACATGTCCAATCCCCCGTTGATAGCAGTAATAATGATACTCATTAATAGTTTGTAAACATCATAAGAGCATTCGTACATGACCTTGTATCTACTGTAAGTCGCAAAAATAGTGCATATGCTGTGCTAGAGAATAAGGTTAAATTAGTATTTGTCACACACAATTAAAGCGATGTAGATTGCAGCACAAATACGTGTTGTTTCAATAGGCGTTTCTAAAGGTCACAAACAAAGTTCACTATCATGTTCGTACCTGAGTCCTGAGTTGTTCCTTTTTCGATCGCGAAAATGTTTATTTGACGCTATCATATTGTAACTATTGTCTCGTCTTTTTCAGGACTATTCAGTCATCAGAATTAACGCAGAGCCTTTCCGCCGAACTAACTACTGCGGCAGATTTTGAGTAGGTGATTTGCTCCTTATCATTATCGTTCCTTCGGTAGAAAGCAGATACCATTTTTGCGCTGAATATAGCGTTCGAGGTCTTGACAATTGAAACTTTGAAATTTTTTTTCCTCATGCCAGTTTATTGTACGTATGACTGTGATGAATATCATTACATAATCAATGCATTATCTAGCCGCATTCGATGACATTGGTGGAGGTTGTTCCTGATTTGTATCTTTAAAAGTGTTCATCTATTCCGACGTAAGGCTTCAGCATAATGACACACTTCAATGCAGAGCAAGATACTCTATTTTTTTAAAAATTCAGCTAGCTTCATACGGACTTAATCATTTCATTTTTCCAGATTTCTTCCAGCGTCGATTGTTTACCTCGGCCAATTAGACGAGGTTGATCTTGAAATTTCACCACCTAACAAATACTCCGAGGTAGTTCTGTGAGTATTTCCGCTTATCTAATATACTAGAGTATGTATATACAGTTATGCCAGGTAAAGTTATTGGCGTAAGACGCTGCATGTATTTGCATTAGCCATTGATCGAGCCAGTTATCATGTCAACTGGACATGAATGTGTGTCGTAATCTCTAGCCCAAAAGCATGAGTTTTTTTGCGTTGACCGTTCAATTATCACCTGAGACAAGACTGTCGTTGACTACTAAATAGGATTACGTATCAGCAGCGGCGTCTCAAGATAGGAAACAGAACCACACACCAATGTTTCCATATGTTATATAAGTTGTGTAAGCTACAAAGCTAAGCCGCTTTCAGGCTTCTCTTAAAACAATAGACATAATCCTCTGTTTGGAAGCACAAATTATAGGGTCGACCCGTGTCTTAGCCAGCCCTCGAAAATAGCGAGCCCATATTAAAAAAAAACTATAATCTGAAGCAAAATATAATGAAAAATTTATGTTCAAGCGAACATTACAATATAGCCTGAAAAATGAGCTAGGCATAGAGACACAACTCGTGAAAACCTCTTGTCTTCACGTATATGTAGTTGAAGCGTGGATGCAATTAAACGATCGCATTAGCAGATTGATTGATTGATTTCGTAACTATTTCTAGTTTATACATAATTTTTGGTTCATAGGATTGACACAATTAACGTGGACGACGATAGCGATGAATCAAGTCAGAGCGACATATTTGATTATGAGCGTGAATATTATGAGACGGAATTGCCTCCAGCGGAGTGAGTATTTTATTATATATTACATTGGATACCAAATCATTAAATGCCCTAGAGGTCTTCTGGTTGAAGTAACTTTTTTTTCTTTAATAGAAAATGTATAGATTTGACATGTTTTGTTCTGTGTCTCAGTCAAATACTCGAGGCACGTTGCTTTCCACTTTTGGTAATATTACCTTTATAAATAGATAAGAAAGGCATGTCACGTACGCGGACGTCAAGCGCACATACTAGCTTCAGTGTGGGTTTACTTTACCTATTTAGATGCTTATTTTGATCCTGAATTGACCTGTTTTTAGGTTGTCTAAAGGAATGACCCTACCGAAAAAGCCTAAACCATTAGACTTTCAGCACCCACGATCTTATTGGAAAAGAGAACCTCTGCGGCCGCCAATACCTAAAAAGGTAAAATTTTTAGAAATTGAATTTACTTCCAGACGTCTATTTGCCTTTATTATTGAATGTTAATGATTTGTCGTCAAATAACCATGACCCAACTAAAATCGAACACGGTCGCTGTAACATTTATTTACTACATTCAATTATATGTAAAAATCTAGGTACCACTTCAATTCTAGGTGTCCACCAGCTCCTACACGGTTCCGAGTCCCGAAACATCATCAGCCACTTTGCCTGCTGCATTACCAGCACTACCCAGCCCAAGTCCTGCCCCAGCTCTCCGACTAGCACCAAGCCCGTATCTGCGAGTGAAAATGGGCCCCATGGTAAGCCCACCACCAAATCAACTTGTCAGCCTTTTTCCACCGCCAGAAAAACGATCGCCACCAAGGAAGCATTCGGAGAAACCATTAACACCCCAACCCAAAAAACAACAAGCAGCAGAAAAGTTAGCATCGCTGAAAAATGTGCCAGAAGCTAAAAAGACACCCGAACCTAAAAAAATCTTTGAGCTTAAAAAGGTAAATGGAGCTAAAAAGGCACCGGACGTTAAAAGGTCATCGGATCCGATAAAAGCCCCAGCACCAAAAAAGACACCGGACGTTAAAAAGTCATCGGATCTGAAAAAAGTCCCAGCACCAAAAAAGGCAGCGGCGAAAGGAAAGAAAAAAGCACCACCAGTAGCAAAAAAAGTGCCAGATGCTAAAAAGCCACCTAGTCTAGGCGCATCCTTAAAGACGCAGGATACCCCAAAGGAGTAAGTACCACTACTGTGTTTTAGGCATATAACCCATAACCAATGAACGCATACTCCTAATAACTTAGATGTACTAAAATTATATTTAAACTAGAGATAAAATGAAAGATCTATCTAAACATTATCTATCTATAGAGCTATTTCAAGATATGTGACTTTTTGTTCTTTAATCAATGAAAAAAAACATCTTGTGCAATAAGTATTTAGGAAAGGCCTCGGTAGAGTTCAACAAACCTCTCCACGTGCGCCATTTGAACGCGTTACCCATTTACGATCTCGCCATTTCCTAGTAACAAGCTTTTAACTATTTTCTTTTGCGCCAAGCGCTTCTCGGCCCGTACTATATTTAGTGCTTCGTGGACTGCATATAATAGACAGTTTTCCTGGATTCAAAATAGAAGCCGATTCAAGTAGATGGAGGTCAAATTACCACACTGCAAATAAACGATACCCTCATTAATATGATTAGTCTTTATTGATTCCGTTTCAGACCAGAGATGCCAACGGCCATACTGGCTAAAGGAACGCTTGAAGATCTGCCATCCGAAGTCCTTAAAGTGTACCAGTAAGTTCTGAGCACTCCATCTAGTCAATGCTTCACTTAGCAAACGATCATACGGTGTAGTATAGTCCTACATGTTTGATTAGATTAATCACAAAAAAAACCATTGCGTCTTTTCGCTGCCTTTACCTAAATTCTAAAGAAATTAGGTTTAAGGCTCTAAAAAAGACTTTAGATGGTTCCTTCCACTAAAAGTGCGCTAATTATAGAAATTCGTTTTAATGAAAAGTACGTTTCATGCTCCAAACGCTGGTCCAAAATCACCACGACAACATGTATAAACGAAATTGTTGTTCCCCTATAGAAGGCCATGTTACAGGTAACGATGGCTGGCCCTCTACTCAGACAGTAACCATTGGCAGAGGATCATCTTCCAAAGGAAAGTTTCCGCAATCATTCTCAACGAATGTAGTAATATCTTCGTTTCGTAATGTCACCTACAGATGTGTAGATAAGTTGATGTGGACAGAGAAGATTTAGAAAGGACCGTAAACTCTAAAATATTGTTCTTTAACGTGTTTTTTAGGGAGCAAGTTTTTGTGCAGCCAACGGTACAGAATATAAAAAGGTAAGACGATCTAATAGCCTTATTCCCGATATTCATTTTTTTCTTTTATTTATCTACGTAATAACTTTTCAGAGGAGCAGCAGCTTTATTGTCCATGTTTACTCCTTCGTTTAGGAAGCCCTTGGAGCCACAAAAAGGGAAAAAAGCAGATAAAATATTGCCGAAGAAGGGGAAAAAAGCAAAAGAAAACGTGAAGGATCCTGCAAAACCTAAGTAAGTCTCAGACTTGAAATTTATATGGGTTTACATATAGCATTTACATAGAAGTACTTTATAACATATAGTATAATGCAATAATAAAAAAAAATAAAATAATAATAAACAATATAATAAAGTACTGAAAAAACAACTTGAACAAAGCCCAGCAACCACGAATCTATATTTCTAAAGTTATTATCTCTACTCTATTAATTAGTTACCGCTGCGGCAAAGGGAGTACTTTGACAAATATGCTCGATCCTGGGACTTTTCTGTTAAGGCACTTATGTAATTTTGTTTCCGGTCCTGCCCTAGTTAAACATCGCTTTAAGCGGCTGGCGCCCATAAGCACAAGGCAAAGTGTATTGACTTCCACTTTTGAATGCTGACCGCGATATATGCCCAAATCTAGTAGGCGAACACGCTACCGTAACGTCTAAGGTTGTCACTTATCAAACCACTTGCAAAGTCGGTTTCTCATACAGGTCATTGTATCACACGCCCTTAATATTGAAGAACGTAAGATACTTGTTAGTATTCAGAGGAACACGATTTCCTAGTCATCGTTATAGAGCTGTTCGCACATCAAACGCATACGAGATATCATTTTCTGCCCGCCATTAGCGATGTGTTTTACTGTTTTAATCAATGTTTCTGGTAAGCAGCAAAGGCTTCGAGTTTTCCGTACTTTTGCATATTACTTTAATGAATTGGATGAGTGTGCTTGGAAGTTCGTAATTACACAGTCGCAACGGCGCTCGTAGCATTCAGACACTGCTGCAGCGCGGATCTCGAACGACGTATGCTCTACTGTTAGCCAGTACAGCCTTGCGGCAGCCTTGTTCCTAGCGACCAATTTCGAAGAATAACGAGGCGAACCGAAACTGTCGTTCGTTTGTATACTTAGACGGACTTCGGCCTATGGGATTGTACGGAGAGCGGCAGGCCCATGGTGTGTTTATCTTGAACTAAGTGATTTTGTGTGTGTGTGTGTGTGAGTGCGTGGAGCAATATGAGTAAAACAAGCGAAGCTTCAAGGTAAGTACCTTATCATCTAGCGAGTTTGTATGGTAACATACAGCGCAACTGCCTACATTAGCCGCCTGTCACAGGCTATAAATCGTACGCGGATAATTTGAAATTTAGCGTATGTTATGCGTCCGTTGCGACTCTTGCTTCCGGTTCGGTTTTTCCATTGCTCTCCCCGTTCGAATATGTCCACGCTACCGTGATCGATCGATCGATGGGTTTAGCGTAACTCCTCTGTCCACGAGCATCAGAAAACATTTCCGTAAAATACTATACGAAGCGGCGAGTGCATCTAGGTAACCGGCTCCAAAATAAAGGTTACAAATGGCTAATTATCTAATATATCTAATTGGCAGTAGTAACCCACTGTCAGGTTATAACAGTATTAACTGTTAAACGTAATTTCGGTTTGAGATGTTAACATTTGTTCGTGGTTTACTTGCGGACACCGGTTATGCGATGCAGAGGAGGAATGGGGTAGACTGTCTTAATATTAATCGAATTGGAATTGGACTTAACAGTAATTAAATTGGATGGCTTGTCTATAACAATAACAGAAGTATAATACAGTCTCATTTTTCTGTCAATTGCGCCATTTTTTCAAATTCAACGGGAGTAGTCCAGACATGAAGCACGCCCTCATAAATTACCAATATGTTCGGGAGGATTCACAAGAAAGGTTGGCCCTAGCAGCTCTAATCCTTATTTGGCTAAAGATTGTTTTTCAATGTAGTTTAAATGAAGAGGTGTTCTGCAAGCTGACTACCCCCCCCCCCCCCCATATGAAGTCACTCCGTTAAGCAGAATTTGGTAAATGAAATTGTAATATGTGTCAAAAGCGTTGTCAGTGAATTTTAATTGCCCCTGATTTCGTAATAAAAGCGTTCGAAGGTGAAGTAGCGAAAACGTTGTTGCTTACCAACCCCTTCAGTGCTTCGATACATTGCTCCAAACCGGATATAAAAAATGCTTTTAAGTGGATTACTCACGCCCTAATAATTTAGTTAGAATTCGCCAGGCAACAAACGGGGGTTTCAGTAACTTGTGCAGTAGTAAATTAAAAAAATCAAAGTACACTTCGTTTTAGGTATATGAAGACACAAGTTAAATGAAGTGCAGGCCATAACTTCTTTGAAGGCTGTTTCAAAAACGTTGCTTTTTCAAAAAAGTCTGAGCTCTGTTTTTGACATTTCTCCGTCTAAATGCATACGTTAGTTACACATCATGCCTTTTAGCTTCAAAAAAAAGAAACAAAATCAAAAATAAGCGTATTTTCTCAGCGCCAATATGCATTTGCCGCCCTATGATATCAAAAATCTCCATTTTAATATAGCTGACTAATTGACTTCGCAGAAAATCTAGTGCAGAGCCACCTTCGGAAATAAATTCAGAATCCGCGAAAGAGTCCTCGAAGGAGTCCTCGAAGGAGTCCTCGAAGGAGTCCTCGAAGGAGTCCTCGAAGGAGTCCTCGAAGGAATCCTCGAAGGAATCCTCGAAAGAATCCTCGAAAGAATCCTCAAAAGAATCCTCGAAAGAATCCTTGAAAGAGTACTCGAAAGAGTCCGCGAAAGAATCTGAAAGGTCGCGAAGAAGTAGACCTTCCGGGGACAAGTCATCCGATACGAATAACGCTACGAAAAAATCAACCAGGGCGAGCAAACTAAACACAAGCAAAACTCCGGGCAATACAAGCAAAGCGCCTAGCACAGCAAAAGGAAGAAAGAGCCGGAGAAGAGACGAAAGCAGGCACGGCAGACGAGATTCGTACGTAGTTACTAATCCACTATCCCCAGTGCACGTTTTCTTATTAAATATTAGATAATGCCGTTGTATGATCTTCGCATTGCTAAGCTACTTCAAGTAACAATGAATGCCCACATTTGACATCGTCTATATTGATACGACCCTAAGTATTTACAGATTTGCTGACGTCCTGATTGTACAGACCCGAAACCTTTGCAGATAATCGTATCAACCTCGCAGTGTTTTTCATTCTTCGATGGGCCATTCGTCCACTGTCCATTAGTTAGTTTGCAGACGGTTGTTCAAGACTGAAGAATAGGAAATAGACTAAAGAAGCTTGGGATCAGACATTATGCTAAACGGATGTCAAAACCGTACATCAAGCCCAGTATCCATTCTTCTTCTTAACATTCTGAAATCGTCAGAATAACGTTAGGATATCAACCGCATCTCTTTCATGAGATCTTGTTATCTGCAAGGATAGCTTGTATCGGTGCATCGATTATTATCAATACCATTCGATTTGACGTATTGTTAGTACAAGAAAGGATGCTTCAAAAGTATTTAAAAGAATAAATTTACCCTTAACAAACGTTTTGAACAGAAATTTTTTAGCTTAGTATGGAGGAAATCTGGCTAGGTTTTACGGAAAACGTTTTCCGACACCACAGCAGGTACTAAGCGCGAAATATGTATATCAGGAGATTTAAGGATCTTAATTACGTCGTTAATACAGCAGTATTAATTCTGAAGACGGTTGTATAAAAGGGACAACAAGGCGCATCGAGACCGCACCTTGCTGCGTCAGCTTCAGTTTGAATATAACGACCTGTCTACTGTCTTCAGTGGTTAAAACGGGCATAGTACATCTCAACTCATGTTTTCTCTTGTTGACCGAAGTCGTTCAAATCCGAACTCTTACACTTAATGCTAAAAAAACCGATGAGATATGACCTATTGATATATCATGATGTTGCTCTCATGTAGTGTTCTGCGGAATTCATGGCAAATAGGTTTTTTTTTGTGACCTAAATGTGGGGGCAATGCTTGTAGTTTGTCTTCGGGTATTGATTTCATACTGTTTGAGCAAAGCTTGGCATATGAGTTTTCGAGGAAGCTCGGCTCGTTTTATGTAACATTAAGGTGATCATATTCTCTGTGCCGAAGGTTTAGTGAAAGCCAATAGTGATCCTTAAAATGCGCACCTCATCTTAGGTCAGTAATACACGAAATAGCATAATAAGTAAAAATACAATTATTTTCAATAACATTTAAAGAGATATAGCCCAGAAGCATTTTAATATCTCATCGATAGAAAAACTGCTACCAGTATCAAGCCGCACATTATGGAGGAGCATAGCCACAAGGCCATGATGTGGCCGATATGATAAAGAACAAAATGGATCACTTGAAAATTCAGCAGATTTGTAGAAGATGTGGTAACCATAATTGATTTGCCATCTGCGGTACATACTGCACGTTATACAATTTTCGATGTAGTTTTCTACTGTATTGATGGTGAGGGACGGAAATTTACCTAGTAAACAGGTTTGATACATCAAACTTTGCATCTCGGAAAAGTCGTTCCGCCAAACCTGTAAAATTCGATGGGCCTTCGGCTATAGCCAGTGGGGATGAAAACGACACATAGTTAATGCAACTAGAATTCAATTTAACGTGAGACAAATGAAGCTACTTTGTAGATCGCCTTTGAGTCACAGATGCGAAACCACAAGTTTGCTTGTATATTGAAGGGCTAATTATAACCTATAACTTTGTGTGGCGTGAGGGTCTGAGAGAGAATATATAAAACACAAAATCCTAATAAAATCACCCTTTTCATGCCATTGGCCTCAAACTTAAACATAATGGCTTTGAAGGAGCGGCAAATTTATTTCCTCAAATTTATTGATCAGATTGCTGTGGCATTATGTGGGACGGACAGTGAAGGATATAGTTAAGCATAGCTTAACTATATCCTTCACTGTCTGTGAGTTTATTTTTAGGCAGCCGAAGTAAGTTTCGCTTAAAAAGAATACCTATCTATCTACCTAAAAAAAGGCATTAAGTAGGGCATAAGTAGGCCCGAAAGGCTATCACTTCTGTAAACGTACTTTTCTTTCTATGTCTCCAACCCCACTGATATTAGCAGTACTATTTCCTGAAGACAATTAAGTCGAATATCTACGTGGATTTCTACTATATTGGACCGGATGAGACGTATAAAAGAAATTGTAACTTGGTCTTAACTAGGTCTATGATAGGCTCAGGCTTGTGAAGTAATGAGCTATCTCCACCATTGAGCCGAATGAATCCACGACGTTCTTGATAAGAACTTATCAATACTGCAACATAGTTCATTAGTAGTTTTGTTGATGTTTTAACTGTGGGCTGGTAGTGATCTCATTCTTTATTTTTTAATGGTTTCACTAGGACGTCTTCAGTACTTAGTGTGTAAAAAAAAAAAATAATTTTTTTTATATTTAATTTAATAGTCTGTTCATTCGTTGGTACACGGGCGAACAAGTCTTAACACGGACTCATTACTGGGCCTCCTACTACGTATCATTTCTGGGCCATTAATAGATGCATCCCCGGTCAGAAATGGCATTAAGTTAAATAACGGGCTCACTTCTGGATCGATGCTTGCATCGGCAGTATTTCGTTTTTTCTCATGAACGTCTCAGTGCTAAATTGAATATCTATCTATTCGTGTTTCAAAAATTTGTAATGAATCTTTTGTAACGAACAAAGTTTGTGCTCGATGTGCTTGAATAAAATGAGATACAATGTTCGTCAGTTTTCGTCAACAATGTGACAGTACAAACAAATAACAGGACTTATTAATTTTGGATGGTTACAGCGCCCTCTCATCCTCCCGAATTTTAAGAAAACCACAAGAAGAATATATGTTCAACATTTTACAGGCTTTGTGGGATTTTGTCATCTTGCAACCTATCGAAGAAAATGTGAATGCCAAACGACGTGTAGCATGTGCTCGTTGACCTTATTTGAGAGAAAAAAAAAAGAGAAAACAATGAAGACCAAAAAAAATGACGTCCTTACTGTTTGTTGATAACGTTGATACTCTCTACGATTTTAGCGGTCGAGGACCGAATCTTCAATGCATTGTTGAATGGTTACTGTTAATTTAGAAATCGATCAAGAACATAATGTTCAGTTTCTGATCAAGCCAATTTAACGCAATCTTAATGCTATAAGGCGAACTGGATTTGCGGAACGTAAATTGTTTTGCCGGAAACTTTCCTTACGTACGATCGATGCTGCTCTTACTGAGTAATGCTTGTCCTTATTGTCGAACGTGATTTCTGCAAGATTCACTAAGGTAAAAAAATACACGACAAAATCCAATCGTGACCAATTGATGAGCTAATTCGTCCTATTATCCAACCCTTAGCGTACACTAACAAACTGTACCATCATTTTGTTGATATACTGATATTGCCTCAGTGACGTGATTTATGTCAACACCAAGAAAAAAGATACGAAAAAAAAGAGTCGGGTAAAGAACACCGCGAGGAAACGACGACACATGTAAGTATGAAACCCGTATACTTTCATCTTTTTCTCGCTGTCGATTACTTCATTTCAGTTCTATTGTAGTTGAATCGTATAACATCTATCAATTTACGCGTGCAGAGGGAGCTCACAGCAGTAAACTGAAGGTGTTATTTTAGGTGGTGGACACAATTAATATTGGCTATGTGCAAACTGCAATGGAGACGTTGGATAGGAATCAATGTTTAGCCTATTCAGGACGGGAGTTCATAAGATGGCAAGATGCTTCGTATGTAGGATTGTGAATGTGTAGTTCCAGTTGCTAAGCGAGGCGAGGAATTTTTAGATGTAGTACCCTACAACTGCTTCATAAAAGGCGAACACTGCGGCTTCCAAAAAGTACGGTATTTCTGGTGAAAAAGGCCTTAATTTTACTTGAACGAATTCGCTCGACAGCTGTTAACTCGTGGTGCATAACCCAAAACTCAAATTCTGGCCCGAGCTGTCTAACCTTTTGTGCACTTAGACATGGCAGTCTTCCAATTATCATGCATACTTTGATGATGTGAATGTACGTTACTGAATTTCCTTGCTGCAAGCTTGAGCTGAGAGGTCCTTGTCGCACTGCTAAAAATCGGCGATGCCAAGGCCTGTCGTAAAAGAAACAGCTGAGTGGAAAAAGATCAGCTTTTGGCAACCGAAGGCAGCTAGTTCAGCTCATAAGCTGTTTCAAGGGCGCGGACCACAGAGCAGACATTCGAAATCGCCAGTGTCGGTAAACAAAACATCGTCGCTATCTAATGGTTGACTAGCAGACGACGCCATCATGTTTCTCTATAGAGTGAGCCAGTCTACGTCATTAAGAAGCGAATAATGGATGGGAAACTTTGGTCTTATAAAGAGGATGATTCGGATATTCTTATTACCGAAACAAGACAAACTAAAGTTGGGTAAGCAAACGGCAGATTGTACATGAGTGCGCGTTATAACTATTAATATCTAGGAACATAGGCGGTGATAATAGGGCTTGTGCAAGCGGCAACTGGTGGCAATTGGAGCTCTTGGAAAGAGTTCCACTCAAGTGAGTATTAACCAAACGTCTTTCAGTCTCCATGAAACTTCGTAAGCTTGTCGTAACATTACAGAAACCTCTAACGCCGAGATTGAGGCAAAGCTGGTGAATTCTAAATTTGCTCAAAGAAGTTTTTACCTTGATCGTCCACGTATCGGAAGGATCCGCTAGGAGTTGGCACGCAAATTTCGTAAAACACGTTCGTGCGATTGTTTCATACGCCTACGAAATGGACAGCCTATCAAAATATCCGGGAGAACTGTAGCACACGAATTTAGAATTCGTATTTGCTATCAAATTTCTGTGTATCGGGTGCGTTCTGAGGTAACTGGATTGAAGTAACAAAAAGTCTTAGAAACATGTCCTGGTGTTCAAGAGTAGACGAAGAAATGGAGTGTTCGACCTTTGCTTTTAAATAGTGGAATCCAGGTATCAGTGTCTCTTGCTCCATTGAAAATTAGCATTTTCAGTTTGGTCAGCTGACAGAAAAAGTAGTAAGTTAGCCGTTGTCTACCTTATTATGTTGCAAGTCATGTGGCTCCTCTACTAAGGTGCATGGTTCGTCAAGCATCCGTTGTCAGCGAGCGTAGAATGGAACACTAATGTTTCTGTGTTGTCCAAAGCCTTAATGCTAAGTGGTCTGGCATAAACTTCTCAATTGGTTAGCTTCGGAACACGTTCGCCAGTAAAGATATCATACTATAAATACTATTCTATAGAAGTTCATTACTTCGGGGGACTCTTGGACTTTACAGTTTCATCTGAATAGAAGCCTTATAGTTTCTTCTGACATGTCAACAAAACGAAGTAGTGCCCTCTTGTGCAAACCTGTAACCACCTGGTTTAAATGGCTGTGAGCTCCCGACTCATATGAGTCCCACTTACCCCATGAATTTTTTGCTAATACAAGGTTTCCTAATCCATACTAATTTTAGAAAATGGTCGGATGCTTCACCTCCGGCCACTTTGGAGATCAGCATGTCAAGCTCCTCGATAATCACCGCGAAGTAAGTGATTCGTTTTTGTTTCTATTAGCAAACGATGTTTGCAACGACTCTTGTTCACTCAGCAGATTACCAGGTGGGGCATTGGAGAAGCCTTTGAAAGTCGGCCATATAAAATCTATGTAATCATATAAAACATTCGAATATTGTACATGAAAACCTAGCACGGCCGGGCACCTTCTCAGAACAACAAACTCTGAGGGTAGTGCAGTCCTCGCCAGCACAGACTTTCGTTCCCCAACGTGACGCAATCTGTAGTTTTACAGGATCGCTGTTGAGTGTTACTCAATAGTATTTATTTTCTGGGAAATCGCCCTTTTATCAATTCTGTTGCTGTCTGATTTTAGATAGCCTCAAGGCTACTGCCTGTAAAGCGTCTTTGTTTAGTCTTTATATTAGTTAGTATACAACGTAACACGGACTTGCTATTGCGTTTAAAAGAGCTTAAAATTCAAATTGTTATAAAACGACTGGCGCGAGTATATTGAGTGCGTTTCAAGAGCTTGACGTTTCAATTTTTCCTCTGTCCTTATTTTGGCTTTAGGTTGCTTAGTTTTTTTTAGAGAGCGATTTTATTCATCCTGTATATGCGCAGCAAAGATTCTACGATTATCTTTGGTAATTTTTGAGAAATCCGAGAAGAATTCACAAATGTCGAATAGCTTACAGGTTGTCCTACATTTCAACAAACGATGAAAAGTTCAGGACTTATCAATGCTGCCGAGTTTCGCAACGATTTTTATAGAATTTGTTATCATTTTGTTGCCGGAAAATTGCAGCCAACGATTTCCGTAATATTATTTTATATATTTCGTTGATTTAGAACCAAGACGACAGGTTCTTATTAGATCAAATGAAAAGACAACCGAGTGAAATGACCTTGTGGTGAGTGCTTTCGGTTCCGATTGTTAATATTCTATCTGAACCACAATGGGTTTCGAGACTGTCAAACTAAGTGCAGCAAACGACGCAGGCTGAAAAATCGACTGTTGATGGTTGGAAGTTTTTTTACTTCGAAGGGCCAGTGGGTGGTCCCTACACAGTTAGAACTATCGATCTACGAGATTTTGTATTTCTGGGCGCCGATTCGCATTAGAATGGCCAGGGTGAATCTCTTTTGTGAATGTTTTTTGTGTGATCTACAACTGAGTGCGAGGATTTGAACCTGAAAATGGCTATGTGGAGGTTGAAGCATTTCAAGACGCCAAAAACATCTAGGGTAAGCATTTGTAAGTGTCAGCTGACTAGCTATAAGAGAAATCCATTAATTCGGTGAGTATCACAATTTCGCGAAGCGTTTTTATTGTTCGTTTTATTCAATGCCCTACGGTATGCCTGAGTAGTACCCGACAGGAAATACTAATAGTAATATGCCGGTCAATGGCCTGTACTATTGCGACGAGCCGCTCTGCACGTGCGGTACCCATTTAAGTAAATTTATCTATCTAACTAGTATCGATGACTATCGACCTGATCAATATAATGCAGTATGGACGCGCCGGTGAAGACAATCAGAAGTTAGCATGCAGCAGAGGGAAAATTCGGGTATGTGTGGATATGTGTAACTGAAGTTATTATTTAGGCTAATGAAGGGTAGGCAAGATAAGTGATTCCAGCAGATTACCTGACATGGTTTCTCAACTTGAGACATCTCACCGACGAGACATTGCACACACCCTACTCGACTAGGGCAAGCAGCAATGGGCTCAATTTGCCATTCGTATTAGTTTTGTCACGTGAGTGTCTTTTCACTCACCAAGGAATTCGCAAAGGGTCGGTCCTTAGACTCCCGTTTTATTCGAGCGTTCGATCCTCTGGGAACCTAATGTATCGTGATAATATATATATATATATATATCATCACGACACGTATTAAATATATATAACTATGCACATGAAGTTAGCTGCAGTGAAAAAAATTTCGTAGTTAGGCTCCCATTGGAGACAAGCCAAAAATGTTTTGGTAAATTACACTCAAAGCCACATATGTGTAGTAGTACCCTTGATATGCTGTATTGAATCTCTTTTGGAATCGACTGGTTCGAGCATTTTGCCTTTTGCCATTTCCGAAAATCAGGAGTGTTTCCTTGCTATCGGTTTCTTAGCGGTTACGAAACAGTCTTTATTGGTCCATATGGCCCGTCGGACGAATCTCAAACGACACAATGCATTTGTAAATAATTGCTTGTAAAGAAGTGGACAGTTGTGTAGAGCATAAATCGGATAAAGCTGGTTGATCCGGCCGTTCGCCTGATTGCTTAATGGTTTTTGAAAATTAGTCCCAAGCATGGCGCAAGCAGCGCCTCTACGTAGTAGGTCAAAAGGAGGTTAACACATGAATAATGTATTGCTCAGAACTTGCGGAATCAAGCTGGGGTGGCCAATCTGAGCTTTAAACGATGTTTCATGGGTTAAGCCACGGTACCGCCACACCGTCCCCGAGGGCAATTCTCTTCCTTTGATGCTATCAGGCTCCTGTTTTGATCTTATCTAATTGTAGCCGGACCCGTATGACTGGTTTGTCATCCAACGGCTATGTCTAAATAATTTGCACTAACGAGTGTCTTATTCATCTTGTTCGTGTTGTTGTATCGTCTTTGATTTTTAGCAAGATTGGCAAGAAGAAAGCGAAAGACCACAAAAAAACTAAGTTTGAGAAAGTTGGCACTGAAAGGAAAGCGGATACCGTGTCTTCGTCACGGGTGCCTGCTAAGAGTGAGCGGGGCCTAAAGCCTAAACCGAGCGTTCGCCCGTAAGTAACCGTGAAAAGCGACTTTTAGCCATATCGTCGGACCCCCTCCTTCCTCCTATAGTAGATATACGCACAGTAGCCGGAACACGCGTATATATCAAAGGACTCATTTAATAACAAGCTATTCGAGCCTTGCGAACGCGGCATGATTCACACAACACAGACCGATATCGGATGGGTACAGAAAAAATTGCTTGCTAGTTACCACCTATTAAATATATATGTGTATATATTATATATGGCGTGTGCAATATCTCGTCGTATTTTGGTTTATCTGTCAAAACTGGAACGGAAAGATACCCACTACTGTCAGCTGAGACAAACAAAGCTATCGAAGCCCCCAGAACCTAGAGGAACCTTCTAGACGACTTTTTCTAATAGAAACCTTAGTCCATACTGCACTATAATAGGCCGGATAGTATACATCGGTGAGCTTTTTCGTAATAGCCTTTGTTTAATAATAACAAACGATAAGCCGCTGTAATACTTCTGGTTTTGTAACGCATGGGTTGTATTGTGGTGGACAGTTGGAAAAATGATTAATCGACTGTATATTTCTGCCAAAGATGGACAATGGCGGTTTGCAAGAACAGTTATAAAGGTATTTTAGTGTTCTCGTTCATTCCAACTTCTTTAAATTAGAAACCATTTATGAATTTCATTGTGAAGAGCCCTTTTTGTGTTTGTTTTGAAGATCTGCATTTACTATAAAAGCTGAATTTTGTTTTATAAATTTTTAGGGGCTTCTGCGCTAATCTTTGACGTTACCTTCTGAAAAATGTTCAGTCTGTTTTCAGAAATAAGCCCTCGAGTGAAACTACCACCTCATAAAAATATCATTAGAAGGGATTCCAGGGCAGAATTTTCATTTCGGGTCGATATTTGAATCGCCAAAAGGAACGGTTTTATAAATGGCCCCAAATTTTTTCTCTGTTCCGGAAAAATATGGTACAAGATAGAGGGACAGAGCGCAACGTGTCAGGTACTTCCATACTCAGCCAGAAAAACATAATCCATCTCCGTGTCGAGTTCATAGCTGAATGGGTTTGCGTCTTACTGTAGAATCCGCTTGAAAATCTCGTGAAAACTGAGAAAAGGGTCGCATGATATTCTAGAAGACATTCTACCTTCAAATCAAACATGTGCTTTCCAATGAAGCTAGTATTCAGCAGTGTCTGTTCTTTCCGCGTCAATAGAAAACCCACACGCGACAAATTTAAATGAGCCTATTAAATGACCAGATCTACCACTAACATTATTTCTCAAGGCTACAAAGTCGTATGCTGATGGGTGGGCTGTGATGTAAGATTATCAACACTTGAAAGATTTACGGAAAAAGCATTACTGGGGAAGCTCACTGGGAGGATCGGGTGCCATTTGCAATCTGCCGGTAGTTTCGGTTGATTACTCCTAGTCGACCGACATCTTCTCAACTTAGAAGCCTCACCACTTGGTCGCAGCATCGGTGCTTTTCATTGTCAATTTGAAATTCGATGAAATTGTAATTTGCTGTCTTGCGTGTATTTCTGTTTACATAAAGGACCAGCAAAAAGGCGTCTTCGCCAGCACCATCAGAAGAGGAAGCCCCAGCTGCGGCGCCAGGCGCTCCAGATCAAGCTCCTGGAGTAGGAGGAACGTAAGTTGTTGCCGGGCGGTCTCGCCGATTCAGCTTCGATCATCAAACTCACGTGCAATAATCGCTACTGCATCCTTTGCGGCGTGGCTGTTCTCTATATATAGAATATTAGCTAGCTTGTATATGAATACTGCATTGATACTTTTTTGTTGTTTTCTCTATAGAGAAAGGACGTCTACAAGGTTTCTTTCAACTGACCAAGGATCACAGGACCCAGGGCCACTTCCTGAAACTCCGCCGGAGGTCGTCTCGTCTGACACGGCTGCTAAACCCCGAAAAACTTCGTAAGTTAAGGCTAATAAGCGTTTAGGCTGAGTAAGTATCGTTGCAAAAAATAAACGAATGAAGTAATTAATAAAGTAACAAAGAAGTTATTTGTAAGTATTTGACAACCACTATGTTATCTTAATCCTTTATTTCAGTGTCACACAAAAGAAGTCTACCAACCTTTATGTATGCATCGGCATTGTGCTGGTCGTGGTGATGGGCATTATCCTTTATTTTGCTATATTTGCGCGTGGTAAAAAGACAGAAACGATTACAACTCGGAGCTTTACGACCCCAAAGAGTGCGACGGGACCTAACCTCATGTTGATACGGAAACGCCTTAAACGGTCCCTTAAAGTGGCTGATAACCTAAAGAGCCGCATACAACAATGTCCAAGCACAATGAGCAGGCATGATAGGCTCTCGTTTGTTATGAGGGCAAATTTGTCACATCTACGTATGGCTTTTGTCGACCCCACGTACAGGATGCTTTTCAAGGTGGTTGAAGGTTCATTCCGAGAATTTTTTTCTTTTAAGAGTGTCAAAAGGTGTTCGATTTGAATTTTCCATTCTAGATCATACACCCACTTGCAAATTCACATAATTTTTTTTGCGCGTGTCCTGAAAGACAAATAACTGCTTTTTCTAGGAATGACTGTTAAGTAAAAAATTTAATCGATAGCGTGTTGACATCTACAGTCAGACAAGAGTCAAGCTCTTTTTCCCTGCCGTTCAATCCGAGCCCGTTCGGTAAACAGTAAAGAGGAACAGTGGGAATAGATAAGGAAACTGAGGAACTGTGTAATAGATTAATAGACTAACTAGTTGTGATAGAATTCTGTGGAGAGACATCGCTATGCCTAAGCTATCACAGGCCATTTTTTCCGTTTCGGGAATGCTGTCCTAAACGGACAGTGTTCGTCAGTGTGGAAATATGTATTACTGAAAAAAACATGTAATATCAGGTTTTGTTGGATCTCAAAGAGTGCACTGAAGTTAACTTTAACTGGCGATATGTTAATCATTTTAGGTTGCTGCACTAGTCTCGTTTCCGTACGACGTCATTAAAAGCAATATCTTCAAGGGTGCCTACGTCGCCATTGTGCTAAATCGACTGCAATCAAACATGACATTTTTTTACTTCCTGCTTAACTGCAAAAATCAAGAACCTGTTCGGATTCAGCCAGTCACGATGGGCACTATCGCGGGGTTAGTAATTTCGGATTCTGTCGGAAATAATTTCCTCAAATTTATCTAAGATGGCAATTTTTACAGTTCAATTACGCCGAGTTAGTCAATGTACTCGACATGGACTAGAAAGGCCAAAGACCAAAGAACAAATTAAGTTAATTCACTTCGAATGATTGTATAAAACACATTTTCAGAGTTAGACAGCACATTCAAGAGCTGGCTGAAAACAGTCGTAGGGTCGACTGGTTTAAATGCACGAGAGGAAGTCTTGTAGACGAGTCAATAAATGTGACGCAGTTTCAAGTGAAGGCAGAAATTGATCTCACATTTTCACGTTTGCTTATGGAAACCTGCAATCCTGAAACGGGAGTGTGTTCGACGACCTATAATCAATCGGTATGTCATCGCTTATTCTGCACGCGCGACAACCGCTGCAGGCTCATACAAATGCCGCTAAGCAGCAAAACCGATAAATAATAACTTTCTTCCAAGACACGTTATAGTGAATAGCCGGGTAGCTTTTACTATAGGCGAGTTTCGTTAACTGACGCCTATCGTTGACACGTCCATGTCGCAATTTTCTATTGTGATTTCCCTAAACGGTCGTCGAATTGTGTTGTTTCCGCAGGTACCCTTGTACGAGTTTAAAACGCAGCCTGAATTTCGGATGTCGGCCATAACCGGGTGGACTGGGCTAAAGTACCCGAAGTTCGATTTCCTGCATTTTGCAAACATTACCACATCGTGTGAGATTCACACAAGCTCGCTATAGTAGCGGTGACAAAGCGCCTGTGTATCTCAAGGGCGCGCCAAGCAACTTCGGGGCCCCTGTGGTATTTCACATTTCATATGCAGTACTGTAACCCAATGCGACCCACTGACAGTGGGACGACGACGACGACCGCTAACACTGGGCCTTTGTCCTTCACGGCAAAATCGGTGAAGTTCTGGAGGCGGTGCTCTTATTCACACCTTCGATGAAGACGATTGTGGGGCGCACTATGCCGCTTTACTGGATTGACACACGTTTTGCTGACTAGGTCTCATGTTCGCAAATCGTGTATTCAAGGCCAGCCCCTGCGCAGGTCCATTAGACGAGTCTGCAACCCACTCTTATATATATCTATTTACAAATACTATATGATCCTTGCAAATACCTTTGTTCTGTTACGACGTATACAATTGTTTGCTGTGAATGCTGAACCGCCAGCAATCGCAGGGCACAGCTGCTGCTGCTGCTGCTGCTGCTGCTACTACATTTTGAACGAATTAACGCCGTGTTGGTTGATGAGCTTGTTTAGGTGACAGCGATCAGAAATTAATTTTTCTTATTGGTTCGATCATCGTTTGCGCGTCAAAAGCCACAACAGCTCAGGTCATCTCATGACCGTTTGGTCGTGGGGTCTATTTCAACCAAATCGGGGGGTTAATTCTGATATGTACACAAAAAGCTTGAAGTTGTACTCCCGCAGGTGACTATAATCTTAGCATGCACAGGGGTTGTCTGGTATTGGTAGGAAATTAAACATGAAAAATAAATGTTTTTGGCAATACTAAATAAAAATTACAAATCTTGTGGTGCCCTACGAATACAGAATGCTTTACTATCCTTAGTTCTAAAGGGCAGCTACACTCCGTCTTTGTACACCCACAGCTGAGTCCGATTTCTGGGAAGCGGACCGTTACGATTCACTCTGTTCCGATTGTTTTTTGGAAACAGCGCACGATTGCGTCGCTTACAAAATCGTTAAATAAACGAAAACACGTTCAGTCAGCAGAACGCTAATTTTACTATTGTTGTCGTTGTTAACTGTCGTTAAAAAAAACTAGGGGTTCACACATGAAAAACGGGATGGTATGATTTTCATAATCGGTTGTCGCAAATGTTATTTCTCCGTTTTCCAAAAGTTTAGGTTCACTACTATTCAAATACTCTACTGTTTTTAGCCTTAAATATTTACCACTCGACCGAATATTTGTGTAACACACCAATATTAGCGTATTTATATATGATGATGGAAGGGAAAAAGTTTCATACGCCCGCGAGTTCTGGGTCGAAATGTACGCCTTTAGGTGTGTGGTGGTGACCGAGATTAAAATTAATAGACTGAGACTGTGTCAGTCGTCAGGTCCGTCGAGCGCACAGCCGTATACCGATATACTAATACCAAAAGAGCGTTAGTTTATATCGACTGAATTTGGATTTACTAGGTTTAGAAGTAACAGAGATATATTTCCATACGTATAGAAATATTTCTGTTACAATTTATAGAGAAAAAAACCACACTAGACAGTCCTTGCAACCACTAAACGTCAGCGTTCTTTTAATGAATACGACGAATGAATAACGACACAACTTCCTCTAATAATTAATTCTTTGTTTAGTTCATACATTTTTTTTTGCGTTCAGGTTATGAGAACGAAACCAGATTCCTGTAATTTTGTTGAATACGAAACGGGCACTAGGTTTCAAGCGTAGAGGTTTAAAGCCAGGCTTTTTTCTATTCATGAAAGTCCGTTTCACACCAAGTACTTATGCTGACTTGAGAATTCTGTCTCCAATTCATTTTTTTCGTAGCATTTCGGCGCGCTACGAGAAACTGCGTTCTCAGGTTGTTGATGTCCATCTTAGCTTCAATCGGCAGCTGTCAAGATAATAGATTAATCGTTCTTTGTGTAATTATTTCAAAACAGTCTTGCCAGGTGAGAGCACTGGCGGATTACTTAGCGAACAAAAGGTGTTTTTTTATCTCTTCGTTTACCACAATTTCGTAGAAATTGCGCCATTCAGAAGCAAGGTTCGGCCAGCTCGTATCTGTCTGTGCTGAGAACCGTGAATTTTTTCTGATGAGGCTCGTAACGTGGTCGCAAATTCTATTCTGTGGGTGTGTAACTTTGAACGATGTACCTTCAATCGTCCTTATATATATTAAAACAGAAAAATATACTCTTGTCTTAGATGGCTTGTTCCTATCAGTACAAAACGAAGCGACTACGCATAGTTCCGAACCTACGTCCAATTTTGACCTTATGCCACTTTCCATAATGCTCTCTGTTTTAGTAGGTGAAGACCGAATATTCGTACGTCTACTTTAATGGAAAGTGGCGCTGCTGTCCATCCATTCTTACAGGCACGTCACTGCGGTAACGGCTTTGATTTTTAGTTTCTATTCGGATGGCCTATTAATTTGCAGGTCTGCTAAATGTTTTTCGAACAGCAATCCATTTCAAATCTTTGTAATGCGTCTAATCTGTCCTTGCCTTAGGCACCTCTACCTTACCCTTAGTTCAATTTACCAAATGCGTTCTTCAACAAAGTGCTCACAAAAATTATACTTATCGACTAAGGGGGGGTGTCACGCCCCTTATGTTTCGTATATTGGATTCGTAGAACAAATCATTACTTATGCCGGTAGTGCAAATACACATACAGTTGACCTATACGCTGCGGTGCAAATTCGAGTGCTCGTCGCGCAAGTATATAACGTGAATTCCCTGTCCGCAAAATTCATATCGGCCAATATCCGGAATGAGATGAGTTGCACCATGTCAGGTAATTGCGGGCTGGCTGTAGCTATGCACCTAAAGCGATCAATGATCTCACCCTGAACAGGGTTGTCAACTAGACTTTGTCGAAACCTGAAATCGACATATTAACATTTAGCAACGATTTCTGAGCGATCTCTCATTTTCTTCAAATGTTTATTTTAGTTTTCTTCAAGAAATTTCGAAAAATTCCGTCAAAATACGAAAACGATACTCGACAAGTCTGCACGATGCTTTTCGATTTCGATGGCAGTTTTCGCTGACTACTTCGTCAACTTTGTTGTTAGGAAGAAAGTGAAGCAAAGTACTCACTCATCAAGAACTCTACGCGCCAGCGGGTTATAAATGACTCGGATGGGCTGGAGTTGATTGGAGCAGTTCACGAAGTTATAGGAGAATGTCAGATTTCTCGGCAGGGCGCAAAACACGACCGCTATATTCATTTGCTTGTTATGTTCAAGAATGTACTTTGGAAACGATACATTCGCCTCCATCTAAATAGAGAACAACGTATATTACTTCAATGCAATAATACTTGGCACCAAATATATATTTATTGACACATAATACCCACTGATCGGGAAATCTGCTTGCCGAGACTAGGCAAATCATTTCATTCACCCCAGTTGGAACTACGTTTCTTAAGATTTTCTTCATGGGATATTTTTAATTGTTTGCTTACCGCGCTTATAAATGCAGATGATGATATCTTCACTCATAGTACATTTTTCATTTTATAAGTAACAGGAATAGTAGTTAGGATACCAGGCGCACTAGATGTATGCGAAAAAATGCACAAATACCACAGCCTATGAGCTGTACTAGTGCCACAAATACACGAAGTAACCCGATCAAGTGAAAGAAAGCTAAACAGCGGCACAAACTTTGAAGCGTAGTTTCCAATACTCGCGACGTAATTGGTCCAGACCCGGTAAAAGGGACGCGTTGATTTCCACCAGATGGTCATGAATCACTCTCAGCCGATGATTGCAAGCAAACTCCACCGTCCTGTTTTCCCTTACGTCGAGTGGCGAAATCAGCGAAATGTCTTCACCTGGGACCCGTTTCACGATATGATGAAGCGTTCTCTCCGGATTTAATTTGGCCACCCTCGAGAACAGTGAAGTACTATTCGTCGAGGTACTGTTTCTTGGGTTAGCGGATGTTTCGAAGTCAGGATGCCGTATCACCTCGTCTTCGTCAAATCTTAGACTACCAGGTCCAGCCTGATATATCAAAGTGATCGCGCTTAATATTGCCACCATCATGATGAACCAACACCTAAAATAATTTGGACATTCCGAAAGCTTACTTGGTAAATGGTTGCTCTTATTCGCGTAGTATTAAGTAGTAGTGACGGTCAGATCATCTGCGACGTTCTTTAACACCCATTGCTGCACCGGATTATTTACATATAATGGAAACGGCGACGATGTTGGCCGAACACTTACTAAACAGTACGCTAGGAAAGACTTTAAAGTCTATCTATTATCGATTCTATAATTCATAGGTCGATTTGACAAATTTCTTTTCGGTGCTCGATGGGAGAATCGACGAAACAACGTCTACTTAGTATTGATCAATTGTTGATTTTTAACGTCAGTTTCTGTTGTCTCAATGTCGATTAATATTTAAAGCTCGAAGCTGTTACAAATGAGGTAGCAGAAAAGAATCTTCACTTACAGAGGACCTTTTCTTGGGATCGCAAACTCTAAGGAATTTGAAGGTTCATCACAGTTCTGCAAACCTGACTCCCTCTCGCGTGCAATTCTAGAAACAAATGAGGTATACAAGTCAATTGGTTAGCATACTAGAGGTATTCTATATTCATGAATTTATTAAATTCGGGAGCATTTCTTGTTGTAGTTATTCAAGCTTAATAATATATAAACACAGCAGTGATTTCAAAAATTCTATAAGTGGCGTTCTTGATAGTAAAAGTCCTTTCAATAATTGGATACTCGTACAAATAACTAAACAACCACGCAAATATAATAGAAACTAATTACCTGCACGGATCAGATAAGCACGAACATTGAACATCACTTCTGAAAAACAGAAAACAATTAAAACTGCTTTCAGCATTTCAAAGAGAGAGGCAGCCATTTTTAATGTAGCCATTAATAATTTCTTAGTGAGCCTCAGTCTGCCAAAAATACATTAATAGCCTAAATACGGGGGGGGGGGGTCCTCATTCAGACTCGCTAGTTAGTGAGAGTGTATAGAGTGTGTTGATGTAAAACAGTTTTAACAACCTTTCTCGACTACTGAAATTCGCTATCTGTCGTATAGAATCGTAGAATATCCACGGTGAATTTTTTTGCTTTTGTTTATCTGACGCTGCAATCGCAGGCTATTTTCATCAATAATTTACCCAGATGAAGACGAGAATCATTTTGCAGGGCCTGTTCTTTAAGATCAAAAAGGCTTCACGTACACAGAAGCTGACACCCTCCTAAAACGACAAACTACGATCACTTGGTCAAGTGAACAATAAAATCAACTGTGCAAGGAATATCCGTATCAGTACAAGAGTGATGCCTTTGCCTATTAAAATAAAGGGACACGAGTTAAGGTGGTCTAGGGCCGAAACCTGCCGTAAACGCTTTGGTGTTGTTGGGTCCAGCCGTCTGAAGCAACACTTAACAACAGTAAAATCAGGATGTACAAGCACGAATCACGAAGATGGACAAAGCAGAGGCAGAACACGGGCAACATTTGGTGCCTCTTCCCAACTTGGAAAAGAGAGCCTCACCCTGCATTGGGAGCTTTAAACAAAATTACCATTCCTTCAATAAAGATTCGTAGTTCCTCGTATATAAACATTAAATAAGAATTCTAGCCAGCTTTCGTGATCGATGATTCAAAACAAGCTAGCTATGATGTGAATCATAAAACTTCGGAAATCCATCTGTACAGTAACCAATACACTAAGTAGAAGATTAGAACAGGAAGTTGTACAGAACGGTACCTGGAAAGATTTCGAGCTTTGTTTTTTCGAGCACACTAAGAAACCGAGACCAGCTAGTTTTCCAGCAGTAGAGAAAAGAATAACCCATTACTGCACCCCGGTGCCATATTATGAAAGGAAGCCAAGGGATGCTCAAGACAAAATCTAAACGCAGAGGCACCTTCCGCTTAACAAGGATAAAATTGAAATGAGGCTAAGCAGAATAGCCGAAGTCACTAATGCGCATGCTGTTGCGCTGCCATGGTGGCCATAAAGGAGGATGAGACACGCAGTCGGGCTAGCTCAAATCTCGCCGTTGACTTACTCGATAATAATCGATTACTAGTAATTAAATGCTCGGAAAGTAAAAGCAGCAATATATCAATACAGAAACAACAAAAATCGCATTATTATCACAGTATTATCTCTACACCACTTAATAGGCCTGTTGGTGAGGCCAGCATGATCCGCCCAGGTTATTCTTTCTAGTAGGGCAGGTTCCTGATGCTATACCGAAATCAAAAAAATAGGTTCTTATAGAAAAGCAAAACCTTATAAAACTAAAAATACGCTTATTTACGCAGTCTCTGGTTGAAAGAGACTAGGGGCCATTTTCTTGAACGTCGTCAACGGCATATTATACAGAGACTGCGCAAATAAGAGATATATAATAATATGTAAGATGATAAAAATTCGAGATATATAGGACTATCTCGAATCTTGAATGTACTATTGCTGTCCGTGAAAGAGGGGCCTCAGCGGTTCCTTCAGATCTATCTCTTTCAAGCGCTATTACAATTAACTTAGCTTGATTGGTGCTAGTCGGTTTGATAAAAACGCATATCCTGCATACATATTTCGCGGGTTTGTCATACTTCTCGCACCCTTTCTAATGTGCCGCAATTTCGGAAACAGCTAAACACTTTTTTAAGACCAAAACTTGTTATTGCGATCTGGCACAGGATCGAATACCGAATGGTTTTGAACTTTAGTATCCCAAAGCATTTACTTACTCCTCACTTGGTCTTGTTTTCGGGGTCGGAATATTTTTTACAGAAAATTCATTACTTTTTCTTGGGCTCGAACCTGGAGTACCCGAACTGTCATCGGCGATCCTATCAGTACCACGAGGAACACTAACTGCAGCCTCTCCCGAGTTTTTCGTGGTACTTTTCCTACAATTTTTTCCGGCACTTTCTCGAAAATCTGCTCCGGCACTTTTTCGAAAATCTGTTCCGGCACCTCTTTGAAAATCTATTTCGGCACTTTTTTGAATATGCGTTCTGGCACCTTTTTGAAGATCTGTTCCGGCGCCTTTTCGAAAACCTATTCCGGAACCTTTTCCAGGTACCTTTCCGAAACTTTTCCCAGCACTTTCAGTTACTTTATCGGCCGGAGTTTGACTTAACGACTCTCGGGAAGGCCTTGTAGATTCGTTAACTGCTTTCGCTGACTCACCTTGTAGGGATTTTCTATCTTCATTTAATGACTTACTCCCTTTTTCAACAATACTCTCTCCGTCTTTTTTACCTCTGAAAATTGGCCGTAAAACATGTGATAAAGAAAAAGAAAAATGAGCGCGAAACGGGCGAAGTAACCCTTGTGCAAAATGCGTTAGGGTTGCTTGTTCCATAGTACATTACTGCTCAGTCAAAAATGTAATTCAATTAAGAAAAACATTATAGAAAAGATTGCTAAGCAAATACACTAGAACTGACGCAATATTAACTGCTGGTGGGGCTCAGGCCAGCAACGTAAAAACTTCTACAATTAGCTTAGCTCGGTGGCAAACACGGCGTATCGGGAAAAGCTCTAGCCTGTCGTTTGTGTCGAAAGTTTGGCCTACCAAGGATATTTTTTTTTCTGCCCGGTTAGTAATCCCGGTAAATAGTAAGAGAGTTAGACCCTCTTCCTGGGTCTTAATCCTTGCTTTATCCTAATTTTTCTATCGTTTTTCACTTTTTTGGCAATCATTAGCGTGTAGAAACTACCAGAAAAATGCCTGTGGAAGAAGGATACTTCTATCGAATAATTTTATTTTCTCAGAACTGTGTTTTAAAAGGGATTTAGATCTTGGCAAGGCGCGAGACCTGCGTGAATCAGCCGGAACCAATCATGTAATCCTCTATCGGTTCGTAAATGGTCAGTGAGGTGGGCGTTGTTATGGAATGTAAATTTGTACAAGAGTGAATCTACGTCACAAAATGAACGTAAATCGTCAATCGATATACCTAAATGATGATCGACCTGCCATCCACTTCGCACATATTATTAAGAACTGATTAATTTTTGCAATAATAACAATGGGAGCAAACAAAACATTTTTTTTAACGGTATCGGTCACCAAACCTACTAACAGACATCAGCTGTTTACACAACTAAAAAGCAATACGCAAAAAAGGCCACTCGCTTTAATCTATCGATGTGCGTAAATTGAATGTCCAAAATCATGCCTACTTTTGTTCTTCCTGCTCCGAGGGCATCACAACCTGCTCTCCTCGTAATCTTCCAAATTCGGTAACCAAAGATAGACCTGACCTTTGCCGTGAAATTTCGTTGTAATCACGCTGTAATAGGTTATAGGGTAGGTGGCAACAAAAGCCTGGAGTCGCTGGCTAAAGCGCCTTTAACAGAGATACACGCAGTATGTATGTAATTCTAAGGAGAATGACGAAGAGTGGTCGTTTCCTCACCAGGGAACTCGAAGTTCTCAGCTGCCCCCGGGACGCGAGACTAGGCTAAGAAAAGAAAACGTTATAGTTTTTGCTGTCGTATAAGTTGGATCAATCTTCTAGACTTATACAAACTGACCTGTGACGTTAAACTTGTTTAATACATGTCCTCGTATAGTGCGATGGTAACGTGTTTGCCTAATAAACCTAGGAGCACTTGATTTAGGTAGCTTAGATTTAAAACTGAGCGCAGCAGTCTGAAGCTATACTTAACGGTGGTACTGAATTTAAAGCCCGAAGCAATCTATTTAGTTAGGCTAGTATAAACTTGACCCAGCAGTTTAGCTTCTTTAAGTTGACTGTCCCCGTTGTTATACATTTGCTTAAGTTGAACTCAAGTCGAAAGAGCAGTTTACAGCTTGGGTGCTTCTACTAGCGTACACTGTACATATTTCAGCACTGTGAGCCTTACCTTTTGTTCAGGTTAGTTGTACATTTTCGTCTTCCCACGTGATATATTGCCTAAAGAAGGTAATCTACGTTCGAAATCGGGTGCTGACATTTCGATTCATGCTGAGAAGCACCAGCCATTTGAAGGGACATTAACACTCAAAAACAATTAGCTCAGTTGGGTGAGGCCACCAACAGATGATCCTTATCTTAAAGCGCAAGTTTTGATACTTAACAATATGCAGAACTTCAATGATCTGTTGACAACATTTTGACAGAAATGAACCCCAATCTGAAAAGGCGGTTTTAAAAATAACACAGTGATACAGAAATTCGTTTTATATGGCTAACGACATTAATGTTGTCAAGTAGCATGTTTCCTTTTTGTTGTACATGTTCATCTGTTACGTTGATTTTCAATAAAAGATAGTATATATGATGTTATGAGCATGATCAATTAGAACTTTATCAGATGCTTTGCGACAAAACGTTTCCAGAAGAGCACATGTTACTTGACCAGCAATATTTATCAACAGTAGTATGTAATTTTCCCATAGCGCGTTTACTTCGCTCAAATTAAATTCTGTTACTACATTTGACTATCCACAGACCATGTGTTCTGTGCCGACGCAATTTGTTCAATGTCCCTCCCTAGGCAGACAAAAATTGCACATGAATTTTCTCTCTCCCCAGTTGCCCTTGCCCTGCTCTTTGCGGGACACCTCTCTTTTCCCTTTCCCTGTTCGTTTTTTTTTCAGATCAGATTATTTCAATCTTTTCCTATTATGAGAGCACGTACTTCCCTCTGTATATGTCAAAAGACTTTATAAATAGTTACTTTGCTTGTTCATCAAACAACCTTACTAGTACATAATTGTGCATTTGTAAACGCTTATGTTTCAATTTAACTACCTGTAACTCTTTTCTGTCGGCTTATTTATGGACAATTACATTATCTAACAAGCCACCTCTAACAGATATAAATCTATGATAAGATCATCTGACTTGGGTTACGACCGGAAAAGCGCCTTGAGAGCTTGCCTTGTATCCGCAAATTATAAGTTCGTGTATAAAATTCCTGAAGAGGAGAAAAACACACGAACTGTAAAAAGTTTGTGATGTCCGAACGAACAACAACCCTTTTCTGTTCGGAAGACAAATATAATAGACGTCATAAGAAACCATTTGTCGCAGGTGACCTATATAAAACACGAAGTCGAAAGATTTACGTTCGAAGTAGACGATATGTCTTCTGAGGGATCTGTGTTATGGGAATGTGTGATGTCGATTCATATGTGTGTGTGTATCCTACGAATCGAGGTCAAGGACTTCTTCCGTGTTGGGCTTTTTAGCCAGATCAGGTGAAGATTACAAGCTGCATTCTTTCCAGTAGCCTCACCGTCGTTTTTTTCTGAAGCTTGTTCCGACAAAGTACAAAAGAAGAATGCACAAGACGTCTGCCTCATACTGAGCTCATTAGTCTACAGATGCTCGTTCAAACAGGTGCCAGTAATATATTTCGCCATCATATATATACTAGCTCTAGAGCTCCAGTGCAGTTAAGACGAAACATTTAATATACTTTTTTTTAAGTTGGAACTGATGAACATTTTGTTGGAAAGTACTGCGATCTACAGAAACTATTTCGTGTGCGACTTATATCTTTTTCAACACTACAAATGTACTTTAATGATAGCAGTACTGTTGAATGAAGCGGCAGAAACCCGCTAACGGCAGGAGCAAATGAAGCTCCAGTCAGTTAATCTAATTACAAAATACAGCTTAAGCTACTTGAGGGGAAATATGTCCATTTAGGGCGGCATCATCTCATCAGGACAGCCGTTCATGGGGTGACACCCTGCCAATAACCCCATTTAGACTCCATGACCCGGTCCAACTAGTACATACTATGGCCTTCTGGTTGATATTGTAAATTTTCAATCGATTCAAAAAAGCTCATAGCTCAGTGTATCCTTCTTCAGAATTTTCTGTTAACAAGTTACTTGTGATGTGGTCGAGCCAGATAATGATGAACTTATTTTTTTATAGTGGACCTGCGAAAAAACTTACTTTCGCCGACCAAGTCATTACAAAATTGGTCGAAACACTGAGTTGTTATGACTATTATGTTTTGAATGGACATTTGATTAACGCGAGTCTACAAATAAGCACTAAATCGTATGGTGGGACTTAGTTGGTGTTAGCGCCCTTTTATTATTACCAACTAACACATTCGATCGTAAATTAGTTCTTAATACAAACACCGTTCAAATATTATTAAAACCCAAAAGTTTCTGCAATGGTTCCGATGTGATCGTGTGTACCTTATGTGCCAAACTTGAAGTTCAGGTTCAGTTAAGTCGCCTCTAGATTAAACTATTACACATATTATAATTAACTTTATCCTTAATCGTTATTTAGCCGAGTACAAGGTATAACCACCAATACATACTAATTTTATAACTGCAGCGTTAATAGCTAACTCCTCTGCTTATATGCAACTTTTTATATATTATATGCAATAGTTCAGTTTGTAAAAGCGCTAGCTTAGGCTAGTTACGAAACTGATGGGCCTTTAATAACATACACATGTTATTTATATTTAGCAGCCAACCTGGTCGATATCATCTCCCAAATCTCTCTGTTAGCACGCTGCACTTCTTTCAGTTCTTGTCCTTTACTTTTAAGCCCTCTAAAGATTATACGGCAATGTCCTCCAAATTGTGTTGAACTCTATCAATATAATGTCCTCCATGGCCACTCTGTGACCTTGGGCGAATTCGGCAAAGGCTATTATATGGGGGCTCATGAAGCGAATTGTCTCGTTTTACAGCCTTGTTATTACCAATTATTTTACCTGTAAATGGTATCCCACTGGAAAGCACCCAAATAAACCCCATTACCACGAAGGAAACCACTATAGACTGACCAGATGATAAGGCTATGCGCCATAACTGCAAGCTGTTTACTGTTATTACTATAATGATACGTATCTGTTCGCAAATCCAGCACCCACTCGTTACGTGGCGTAGGGAAAGGCTAAGCGAAAGCGGCACGCTTTTAGCTGTAGTATGATGTAATTGCGGTATTCGACACTATAAAAGCTTACGCATTAATTCGAATCCATTGTAAAAGTTTTGCTTACCGTTTCATCGATACATGGGAGGAGAACAAAAATATAGCAGAAGGTATTGGAAAGCCACATCGATTGATGATTACTTTGCTCTTCGATTGTCTCTAGATTGCAAGGTTTTTCCTTAAAGCACGTATTGGCATTAAAATTTATCGTCTAACGTGTTGGCCTTATGCACCTAATCTAAACATAGGGCTAGTATAGCCTGCGGTTCTATAGTAATGCGTAATGCTCTGCCTGGAATGAAGGCGCTTTCAACTCGTATACCGCCGAAGATTCTCGTCTGTTAAAGTTTTGTTAAGGGGAAAAGCAGGCGAAGCAGAGAGATCTACTGGATTGCCGAGCAAAGGGGCACGAGGGTCTTCAAGAGATCCTAATGAGACCACACTTAGGGGATAATCCCGTTGCATATCCGGTCATCTATTCATTTCCGGCCCAAAGGGCCACGCCATGTTTCTAGGTACCTTCAAGACGACGAAAGGCGGCTCAAGCAACTGCTGTTTGCGTCACCCCCGAGGGCAACCTTTCTAATCATTTCCAGGTCGCATGCAGAAGGGCGGATTTTCTATGAACCGAGCAGAAGCCAGTGAAGACGATTCCAGCGGTCGGCTGAAGATGTCGAGTTAAGATTGTCCCATTTACGCCAAAGTAAATACGTCTATATAACAAGTTACTCAAGGCCTTACTTTAATAATAAAAATGAAATAAAAAAGCATTGCCAACCCAAATACATATACGGACGAATAAACTCGAAACCTAGTGTAAGCATATCTCATTGTGTGCTGAAAGCTAACATAGCAAAAATACTAGATTTAAAACTGGCGGCATTTACTAGTTTAAAGAAGAAGGCCGATGATCGTAGGAGAATTCGCTAGGGACAGTACATTAATGGAATTATCTTCAGGTTATTGTCTCTTGTTTTTGAATAGCTTGCTCCCCTGACGGTCTGTAGGGCATTCCGCGCGGCGCTCGACTGTTACCTGTATGTAAAGCTTTTACCATGGCTAGGAAAGCTGCCTGCTTTATGCAGGCATCCGGAGCGTGACTTATCACTAAACTTCGAATCTTGAACGGCTCTAAAACACTAAAGTCAGTTTTGTAAAAACCATATCAAAAAGTTAAATACCTCTTCAGTTTTCCCTTGCAGTCGTTATCTCAGTTACGCTTGTTTCACTATAAACTGTGAAAAACGCTGTGGTACTAAATGTGCAGCTTTTTTTTTACTCCTATAACTTAATCGAACGTGAAAATACTACTAACAGCAAATAGCAGGCTAACTTTCAAATTAAAAAAAAAAAAGTGAACGGAAATTGAAGTTCAGT